TGTTCCAGCCAGTATAGCTCGGTTGGGTCATCACGATAGGCAAGCCCGACCACCACGTCAAGGTAGCAGCTTCGGTCGGGGAATAGATTATAAACAGAATTTTTAATGAATTTTTCTGGGAAATACATAGTCAATAGCGTTGACCTAGAATAATCGACTATGAAGAGTGACAATTAAAGTTTCTAATTGTTGATTTCTGTTGTTATTTGATATAGTAAGATGAAATTTCATTACATAATCTTGGACTGATTTATAGCAGAGAGAGATGGAAAGACATAAACACACAAAAATACATAAAAGTATGAATGTACTAATCCGAGTCATACCTTACACACTTAGGTACAGATAGAGGAAGTGAAAAGAGAGAGGAATTAAGCTATATCTATAGTGGTTAGTTAAATTATTTCAACCTTGGTACAAAAAAGCTTGTGATGTCAGTAATTGGCGAACTCACAATTTTGGCTTGATCACTAGAACGTCGCTATGTAGACGACAAATTCGTCATTATCAAAACGAACGAACTGGAGAACATCTACAATCTGATCAACGTCTTCGATGATATAAAATTGATGATGGAAAAGGAATCAAACAGCAGTCTCATTCCTATATGTACTAATCACCAGAACTGATACAGGGAAACTGGAGACCCAAGTATTTCGGAAACCAACCCACACAAACCTAATTCTCAACTACAGCAGCAATAACCCGAGAATTCACATAATCAACTGCGTACAAACGTTGTTCATGAGAGCGAAGACACACTGAAGCTCCATAACCCAAACATCCAGCTCAGAAAAAGAAAAACCACCACAATATAATTCTTTACAATATATCTACTTTCTAAGTACCACATTGAGTGTAGTAGCTTAAACAATAATAGATTTTATGCGAAATCTTCAATTTTCATTATCTTAAACAAGTATCCAGTCACAGAGGATGGCGTTAAAATATAAATTACTAGAATACTTTTAGTTGCACTTCAGTGTAAATCTCGTTATATTTTAACCCCACAAAACGTATTATTCACATAAACTAAACCACTAAACCAATTTATGCGTATTCTTAATACTATTTTTCGAATGAACAAAAAACTATCAAATAACTAATTTAGAGTAAACCCCTTACCAATAGAACTTAACTTGGTTGTAATATAACTGACTGAGTTGTAAAAGTATAATCCGATCGATAAGTGTGACAATTACGCCAATTTATTGAATTATATATTACCTATGAGTAACTTTTATTTCGCTCAATAGTTTTTACAAGTCGATTTTTCCTTATGAATCAATATTCACTTAACTATGCTGAATTGGATTTTTTCCCGTTATCTTTACTACATGATATTCAATGCTTCTTGTCAGTGGTTCTATCACCTTGAATGTTATGTACTTTTATCTCTCGTAAAAGGGAAACATATAACTTTATTTGACATCAAGTGTGTTTATCATGAGTGAAATTGAGGCATAATACCTTCAAAACCCAATTAATATACAGTGTTGCTTTTTTCCACCGAATGTAGATTTATTGTTTGTGTTAGCTAAGATGTCGAGGGACATTTTTGATATTCTAAAATCATATCAATCGAATATTAACTGGATTAAAAATTAACAATCATCTCCTCTATGTTCGTCTAACAACAATGTAATTGTTGAATAAACATTAACCTAATAACTGAACTTCACATGAGGAAAATGAGAGAGAACAAGTCCATTCAAGATTTTAGTAACACTATTCTATTCTAGTGATTTCTTGCAATCTTTATATATTATGGTAAATCCATTAAAATTAGTTCTTCATTTAGCTTAGTGGGAATATGTTGTACCCCTTGGTTGTTAGACTTCACATATAAGTACTTTAATCTATTAATTACATACAATAAACTTTGACCCAAAACTGTTTGTTTCGAGGTTGATGATAACAATGAAAATGCGTATCCATACCCATTACTTATGAATAGATCGATCAGTTGTTTGCTAAAATCGTTGTTCCTACTAATGAATTCAATAGGTTAACAAATTTTAACATAAATGTAAAATAAGTTAATTTTTGAAATTGTTATTGATTAACTCACACATCTGACTTAATTGTGTACACTTTATCACCTAAAGATTCTGGAGCTAACCACTTTAAAGGAACACGACCCTGTTAAGAGTAAATGGTAAACAGACAAAATGTTAAATTGTAAAATAGAATAGTAATTTAGTTTATACCTTTACATCGTAATTATAATGGTCTGTAGCTCAAATTTTTTTACTGAGCTAACTACATTGAAATTGTCTGAGTAGCTGTATTGCCAAAGCCGAGTAATAATAATAATGCCAACAACTGTTTAGTATTTATATAAGTTCAGAATAATGCATATAGAAACATGGATGCAATCACTTTGACCAGCTTAACAATAAACGTCCTCAACTCTTACATTTATATGAAAATCCTTTCTCTTTATAGTCACTTGATAAGACGATCATATCATCAATACAATAACAAATTTAATTTCTTTGATAAAATGTACGTTTCTATTGAAATTATTTCTCACGAAACATTGATTACGCTACGTTACTTAAAGTAGAATTTTTCAAATCAAATGTTACCGGTTGACCTCAAAGACAGATTATAATATCAAAACGGATAATAACTAGAGACAAGTGCTTTAAAGATATTTTAACAAGATATATGATGGACTTGGATAAATTAATTGTAACGGTTTCAAATCTTCACGCTATCCATTCCCAGTTTCTCTTTTCAGCTTCTCTGAATCTAAAGCTTGCGTGATTACTAATTTTTGTTCCATTCTAAATAACTGTAAGTGCATTTTGTGCGCTTGCTGGGTCCTCAGTTTACCTCTTTTTGTTCTTCTCTTTTCCAGTTCTCTCCACTCAAGCTATTCTGAATGCTTTCCTAGTAGATAAGATGCTCTCTAGTTTGACACAAACCGCTTCATAACTTAAACGGAGTTTGTTCCAAGTAATGTAGAAAATACTTTCATTAGTATAGTTAATTTGTTAAGATTGTTGAAATTTCAATGTTTGCATCACCGGTTGGTCTAAATTTGAAAACTAGGAAATGGACCAAGTGTTTAGTGCTTTCTGAGAGCAGTCTACGTGGTAAACTAGAAAAATTTCAGTTATGTGGTGACAACAGTTGAAGAAGCATTGAGAAAAAATGATCACTGGATATCTATTTTGGTTTGGTTTAGTACCGGTGAATAGTCTACAAGAAAATAGTTGGAGAAATATCAAAAGTCGTCACTGGAAAATAGGAGACCATTCTAGGAAATAGCTAACTTACAATCTATGCAACTGATTTCGGTGATATTCTTCTGACTGTTGTACATAAATCAATATTATAGATGGTATAAGTTAATATCAACTTCGACAAAATAGATCCAATTACATCAGATTTTTCGATAATAGTCTAGCTTACTTTTTGCCATATAATCTGCCTTGAATCATATTTTGTAAGAAGAAATGTTTTTCAATCAGAGTTGTGCAGATCATTGTTTTTACACATTGAAATCATAAATCAGTCATTGTTAGACCACCATTAGAAACCTGGAAGCGCTAAAAAATCACGCAATGTGCTCACTAGTGACTAGCTTCGTGAGGAAATTCTCAGAGTTCTAGTGAGATGTAACCAGTGAAGTTCCACCCTGTCAATTATAGGTAGTAGCTACCGAAGACAAATGGGTGAGGTAGCGCAAAATCCCTAGATTGATCAGAGCTAAATATAAACACAGATGAATGCCGGCCCAGTGATCCAGAGGTTACGCGTTAGCGCGCAAGACCGAAGGTCCTAGATTCGAAGTCTGCAAGTAGCAGGAGTCGTGGATGCGCACTACCAATGAGTCCCATACCTGGACGAAACGGCCGTCCAGTGCTTCCAGATTTCTAATGGTTAACTAACAATGATTGATTTATGATTTCAACGTGTAGGAAGAAATGTGTTACTTAAACCCAACCACCATCTGCTTCGAAGTTATGTGCTAGGAAGAGTAAGTACAAACCATCAGAAAGCTAGAAGAGAGTAAGTCAGAATATAGGACCAGCCCATAAATTCATTTAGTAGATGAAGAATGTCTGGTTGGAGTCTAAGCGATGATCAGATCAGGGCTCAGTGGCTAGAGACGTTGGATGGCATACCCCAGAATCAGTGCAGATAAATTCATTCCTAGCTTATCTTCCTCTAGATTTTAAGTTCTAATATTTATTTGTATGTACTCTTCTATTCGTTCCCTCTCAAATTATATTCTTAATATTCAATCTTTTACACCATCAGTATCACCATTATTATTTCAACTATTGTTACTTAACTTGTTAATTTTATCTCATATTGATTTAACATTCCCAACTTAGGTTAAATCACATTCATACCATACTTTGTGTTATTTATGACTGGTTAAGTTAATAATGCAATCATAGGTAATCAGAATCATACATAAACTGAATGAATAAAAACCTTAAATTCAAGTTTTGACTTTGTTCCAATCATAAATAACATTTCAAATTAGTGAATCAAATTATAGTGATTATATTATATTATTATATATAATAATAATAATAATTTTAGTTCTATGCGATAATAAAAGCAATACATAATCATTAATAAAACTAGTTGTTTATTAGTGATACTTACATTTTTCATTTTACGATAATAATTTTCAGCAAATCTTGTAAGTCCAAAGTCGGCAATTTTTAAATTATGTTGCTTACCAACTAAAATATTACGAGCAGCTAAATCACGATGAATAAGCTTTTTGTAAATAAAAGAAACAATGATAAATACAATGGAATCAAATTATAGATTAATTAAAATTTGTAAGTTAACAACCAAGTGTTACATAGAACTAGTTGTTGAGGAAATCTGCTCGTTCGAGGTTTAGTACAACTTGAAACTTGTCAGTAAGCTGTACCAGTAATCTTAAGCAAACTAATGGTACCTAAAGGAATTGATCTTGTTACATTTAGCTCTACAACACACCAGCAAAAACTAGTTCCCTTAAGATTACTTATGTGGTGTGTACTACTTACGACAAAGCTTATAAGTAATATTCAGTAGACATGCAACAGTGTAGCCTTGAAGTTACGGACGAAGCGAAGTGTGTTGGATCCGAACGTATAGTACGATAAGAATGTTTTAAAGAAAATAAGACTGCCAAGAATACGCTTGTTTTGCAAATAGATGTTTTGTAATAGGGTGTACACATTTTAGCTATCAAACTGTCTCCTCCGTTTTTCATTACACTCATGTATCTTTCTTAAGAGCATAGAAAATATATCAAGGAGGATTTGCTGTCAACAACTTCTAACAAACTGATATTAAAACACAATGCACACAATATTGAGTCACTTACATAAGTAGCCGTAAAGCAACCCTATCAATTGGATTCGATTAACCTTCAAGAAGACTAGACATATGTGGTATTGTTCACTACTACTCAGTGGTCGGTTGTAACAACCAAATGGAAGTAAAACGTAAAAAGATACAGGTTTAAGTTTGAATAAAAGCTTTCGTCACTCATGTAGAACATATAGCTATAAATAAAACAGATCACAGGATAGTCTATAGGAAATTGAATTATGAACATGTAACATAACTCACAGGTTGATTTCAAAATATTTACTGATCAAAGTAAAAAAAGTAAACGCAAAGAAAATATTATCTTGGAAAATAAAAAAATAAACTGCAAGATTAAAATAAACAAGTTTGATATTCTATCAGTACAAAGGTTATGATACTGGTAAACTATTAAGCTTGCTAAGGTGGGAATCCATCTTGATTTAAATTTTAAACCTAATGTTAATGCAAAAAAAATCTTTCTCCTAAACTAAATTATACTTACACATTTCGACTCTAAATATTTCATGCCATTAGCAACCTGACATCCAAAATTGAGGAGCTTCAAAGATAAATTGTCATTATTAGACCACACTTTTCGATGACGACGTAGATATTCCTTGAGATTTCCGTAAGGAGCATATTCCATGATTAAAAGTGGTGAACCTAGAGTATAAAAGCATTGAGATGTTTATACTAGTTGTATGAAAAATGTGTTATCAAAAGTAAACAACGTTTAAAAAATAAACTGTAACAACTAGAACCTGGGTCACTAAAAAAACATTCACCCTGAGGAGATCAACATCGTGTCACAAACTAGAAGTGTTGTTTAGTAAAAATTTGATTGGAAATTCTATTAGATCATACGTAACTGATATAATTGATTCGAAGAGATTGCAAAGCAGTTTTATTGACTGAGCCATAGTCTTCAGTTTTACGGTTTGGTTTAATACAAAAAAGTCGAAAGTGACCTTTTAAGTCAATATCGTAAAACTTATAGCTTCATAACATGTCACCTGTACAAAATCTGAGAAACTCTGTCCTAAAATAATGATTACTCCCCACACTAGTCATACAATAGCTTGTAATTTATTAACGTTATCTTAGATTAAGCTGTAAGTTTGGTGCCGTTTACTGCTGTCTTACATACTGACAACAAAGTGAATCTGGCTGCTTCATATATTCGACATGTGAAATCACCGAAATGTGGTAGGATTCGGTGTTGACAACTTCACTAATAAGAATATCGGAACCAAAAACTGTTCGAAAACGAACTTAATGAGCGGAATACAATTTGTGAGTGATGGGTAGACAAACAGGTTTTACTCAACAGAACACGTTTGGGACACGTCTAGGTAGTAGACAAACACAAAATGTGGTATTTTTTCACACTAATCAATTTAGTCTGTTGACTATGTTTGATTGAACTATGTACATTCATTCACATATACAGATGCCTGACAAGGCCAAATAGTCATTATTTGAAAGAACAAAGATGAGTCAACAAAGGCTAATTTAGTCAATTTGTCGAAAAATAGGGTTTTGTCAAATGCATTTCAAAGTCAGTCTACTTTTGGTAAGAACATCAGAATTCTTGTTTCATTTTTTGATGTGGGTAATTTTTGCAGCATACAGCTACGCGAAAACATCAACGTAACTACTTTGTGACTTGTTCAAACTGCAAGTAAATAAACTGAACATTAAAATTAATTACAGGAAATGTTTTCTCTGCCCAATCCACATACATGTTAATGAATATGATAACTGATGAGATCTATATCATGTGACAGAAAGAACAGCCAATTAAATTGATACAAAAAAGTAAAATAAATTTTACGAAAAGTATTTAAAAATACAAGCTAACCATTTTCCATACAAACTCCATAAAATTGAATGATATGGTTATGGTGCAACTGTTTCATAATATTCACTTCCGTTAGGAATTCAGACACATCTTCTTCTGTGAAGTCATCTATGTATAATAAAATTAAACTTTACAAAAGTATTTAAGTAATAAAATATCTATGTTAAAAAAGACAATTATAAAAACGTGATTGATTAAAACTATAACTCATGGTAATTTTACTCAATCGATCGAAGCAATCTTTTAGAATTTGACTAGAACGGTTTGTATAAGAAACTCTCTCAATACAATTGAATTTGGAATCTGTTTAGTTTATAACTTTCGAATCTATTATTTCTAAATTTTCAATTAGAGTTATGGAGGTTAGTGCTTGTTGCACATTGAGATCATCAATCAATCATTGTTAGACCACCATTAAAAACCTGAAAGCCCTGGACAGCCGTTTCTTCCTGGTATGAGACTACTCGTCAGTAGTGCGCATCCACGACTCCGGCACCTCGCAGGATTCGAACCCAAGACCTTCGGTCTTGCGCGCTAACGCGTAACCTCTGGATCACTGTGCCGGCATCCAACTGTGTTTATGTCCAGCTCTGATCAATCTAGGGATTTTGCGCGACCTTGCTGAAGAATCAATGACAAATTTAGACATCAATTTCATTAATGTAAGTATAAAAATGTATATACGTTCACGGTCTGCAAATTTGAAACGAATGCATCAACTCCTTGATTTAAAGAGAATTTTTTTAAATTTTTTATAAAACTATGACGACTTTTGCTTTTGTCCTGTTTTGTTTCTTGAGGTCTCTTACAATGGAACCAATGTTTTGTTGTCGCATTTAGATTTTTGTCAATTCTAAAAACTGAGAAGTGCTAAACAAATGTAGAACTACATCAACTTCTAACAATTAGAGTAATTAGTTGTTAGTGGGACATAGATGGAATTAAAGCATAACTACGTTGCTACGCGCTGATTGGCTAATTTCTTATCCAATCAGCGCCTGATCGATTCTTGGAGAACAGAATAGAAAATTCTCGTACTGTTAGCTGCATGCTGATTGGCTAAATCTAATCCAGTCGATCACGTGAATTTCTATCCAGAAGCTTCTCATGTAAATGCTATAAATACACTAACGTTGTATCTATTTTTGGCCTTCGCCTTCGCCATCACCCTTGGCTTCTTATTCCATTTAACCTTGCTATTTGGAATATAATCTTTTCCTGTTCAACCGTATTTTTGATTCTTTGGAACTTGTCCAGTGTATTGTGATCAGAGAATACTAAGCAATAGGATTTAGCCGGAAGTAAGTAAGCTTTACAACATTAGTGATGAGTTCAAGTGCTAATAAGTGAGAATAATAGTGTTTAACAAAACAAATACATCTTGAATTCTATTGGTAACCATTCCAATTAATTTACTTTCATGATAGTATATTTTGTAATACTTTGGTGCTGCTACAAACCAGATGGAATTATTTTGACTTTTCATTACCTTGATACTTCAAAACGATGCTAAAGTAGTTAAAGGTTTTCTATCAATTAACTATAAAAGTTACAGCCGTCGACACTTATGTTGTTATATAGCTCTAATGGGCTTGATTAGCAATAGTGAATGACGTTGGGTTTCAATGAAGATGATATCATACAAAAAAATGTTAATCAGGCAACTTTTCTTTATTTTTATGTCGTGACATAGCGCACGTTCAAATTCAATCTCAATGATCAATCTCTAGATAAAAGTAAACAAACAAAACCATTTTTAACAAAATAAACATAAAGACAAACCTTTTAAAGTCTTAACAGCAACATCCATTTTCTCATTAGTGTTTGCAGAATTAGTTAGATTTTCTGCAATACCTCTGTATACAATACCGAAAGCACCTGAACCTAATTGACATATTAATTGAAGATTTTCACGAGGTAATTCATAATGCTCATCTTTTTGTAGTCGATAATTAGATAAAAATAATTTATCTAATTCTTTTATACGTTGTATATCTTTTGCATATCTGCATTTATTGTAAAATTGTTGTTGATTTTCCAGACATACACTGCTATTAGTATATCGATCTTTAATTTTGTTGATAAATTTCGGTGGACGACGAGTGACAATGGTGCTTATATTAATCACAGGTTCATCAATTGGCTCTAACATTAAACTTGTAGCATTTTCAGATGAATCATTATCCGATATATTGTTTGATATTCGTGCTCCAGATGCAGTTAACTGGTAGTGCTCTTTAGATTGTCCAATTCTTATTGATTTGTATGTAACAATTTCAGATTTTCGTCTCCATAACCAAATCAATTGAAGAACGATTAAAATAAAAATGAACAATAGGAAATATGGTAGTAATTGAACAATCCAGTACATCAGTGCTATGAGGTGGGGATGAATATGGAAGTATAAATAGAATTAGTTTGATCATCATTTTAGAAATATATGATTAGAATTCAGTAACAAAATACAGTCCCAAATGCTATGTGGCTATGTAGTTATAACTTGTAATACTTTCTAGAAGTGAGAAAATAAAGATAACTCAAGTATAACCTTATGGGATAACAATCAAGGGTTTAGATGGTTGAACGATAATGCTACCACCTTAATGTTTAACTACGATAGAAAATAATAAAATATAATATTATTCTAGCAAATCAAAACACCTAACAAGAAACAGAATGACTTAGTTATACACTCACGAATATATCTTGGAGTTCAAAATGTTTCAGGTTAAGCCACACGCTACTAAGCTACTGGAATCATAATAAGATGAGAGATTGCAAATTCTATATCAAGTGAATTCTAACTGTATTTAGCTGACTTGATATAAAGGATACTCAAACACGTTTTCATCGCGCTACGAATGAGACAAAAAATGGAGCATAGGCTGATCAATATAGATGAATTATGTAAAATGTATACCTGTTGAGACAAGATCAGGGTCAGTAAAAAAATGTTCACAAAACTTAGACAACAGAGATGATATAGCATGGGAGTTAAGAGTTGGAAATTAAATCGGAAAATGGAATAGATAATTGGTTATAGATGAGTCATCCACACCTAAGACCAGCCAATGAAAGTTGGAAACTTAAATTCCAAAGATAGTTTTAAATATAGGTTAGAAGTAATTTTCTGTTCATTATTCTATCAATACATAGTGCAGTTGAATGTTGACCCACATGAATAAGCAACATTGAAACTGCATCTATTAAATTCGACTAATACTAAGTAACGGACAATAGGACATTGCTTACTAGTAATCACGTAGTACAAGCATTTTAGTACCACTAGAGGTCCAGCAGAAGTTTTTTTCAGTGGTTGTATTACTGTGACAGTGAGTATCACATAGTTAAAATCTCACTGATAAAACCAGCTGTGAAGTTTTTGACTCAAAACGGCTATTTTTACAAATAACATTGGCTGTAAGATTCTGAGAGGTAAACCAGCTGCACTATAGAAACTTTCTTTTAGAAATAATATCTAACAGTACATAATTCATTTAAAGTGAGATTAACAAACTACTCTATCTAGATTGATTAAATCTACCGAATGAGTCGCATTTTCAGAGAAATTGTAATTTTGTTTTTGAGCTCTCGTACAATTACCCAACCTACAAATTTCATTGCGATATTTCCCAATATATAAATCTCATCCTTACGTTTAATTTTCAGAATTTGCATGAATACTAGGGGTTTGATGATATATCTGCTACATGATTTGTCGACCATAACGAAGTATACACTGCCCATAGAGTTACGTGAATACAAAACAATGTCATTGAGACTAAAATATGGCACATAATTTGTATCACAATTTAATTTTATTTAAAGCAGTCGTCATAAAATGCAGCTTATGACATTATAAGGATCAAAAATAATATGAAGTGAACCAGCCAGTCAGTTAAAACGTATAAATTCATACATGGGTACATAAGTTCAGGTTGCCATACCCCATCAGCACAAAGACGCAACTGTCAGTTCAAATCCAGTAGTGGTAGCGACAGTAGAACTATTAGCAGTAATGGAGAAGAATAGGGATCCAAAATATGATTCGGGAAGTATAATTCAGCGAGATAACTTTAGAAATAGAAAGGTAGAGAAGATGAGGAATTCAGAAAGTAAGAATTTGGGAGAAAACAATGAATGAATGCACCTGTGCCATTGCAAACGATTTTGAGCCATGCCGTTCAAGGTCTCTAACTGTCGGTGACTTTCGTCTCGAGGACCCCAATCAGGCAGCCTACATCCACCAACATGAAGTGAACCATGTAGTAGATGAGTTCCCTTTCTAATCTATCTTTCCTTCAATTGTTAAAAAGGTTCATGCTACGCGCCAATCGATATCAATGACCAACAAATGCAGCCGTACAGTAACTTCCGATTTCTAAAAGAAGACAAGATATACATAAGGCTGTCGTTCAGTTATTTGATGTTCGTGATACAAAGGGTACGAATAAAATCTATGGGCCACGTACTAATTACATTGGTATATGACGCAAGAAACATCTTACAGTAATGCTTATCTATCAAATGACTTTAAATGATGGTTACTTTTGAAGTCATTTTGTATATAAGAATGTTATTTTACCAGACAAAACATTTATTCTCCTAGCAGTTCGGCTGTCTTCTACTCGAAGATTAAATGTCCGAAATTCGGCTTTGTATGAATTTGTTCATCAACCTCATTGTATTATTGCATATCATTTAACTAATAAGATTCTATTCATCATTTCAACTTGAAACGTGAATTATCACTGCCAAACTTATGAACTCTCTCGCTTAAAAACCAGATATTTTTATTCCAGTTAATTCTACCAGGAAAGTGCACTTTAACTACTCTATTAAGAATTCTTTAAATTCATATGGAGGCATTCGCTCTCTAACGAATTCTGTTTATTTTGTATTAGAAAGTCAACTTCTCATTCAGATCTACTCTATGTTGCGGGTTAATTGCATAAAATACTAAAATGCTTCAAAATAGGAAAAAAATGTTGCAAAATAACATCTGATTTTATTTGGGTTTTTTTACACTTAGAGGATCAACCTCAGATAAAGAATGACATTAAATTCAGTGAATATCATTTAGTGAAACCAAAACAATAGATTTATGGAAATATTCTTACGTTTAGAACAATTCATATCGATTTCAAGTTTCATGTAGGTCGACATTAAAGTTGAATATCCAATAGGATTAAGAAAACGACAATAATAAAGTCCAGAATCATTTTTAGTCAATGGTCCATATTTATATTTAAATGTTTTGTGATCTCGATCGTACGTTTGGTTCTGAAAATTAATAATTTGAGACGTGTTTAAAGGTAAAAAGTTGATTGGCATTCAGTCATAGCATATGCGACTATTCAAAAACATTTTCATTACCATCTGGATGGAGTATTTGCGAAATGCTACTTGATAACAGATAATTGTAATTGAACTTACCCATTTTGTACTCATGTTGGGATAAAGTTTCAAAATAAAACTGTGGACTAAAACAGGTGAGTTTAACATTTTCAATGAAACGTGAGAAGTTACTATTTATCATATCGGATAACTTTGTGATGTTTTCCTATCCTATGGTCAGCATTTTAGCTAGTTAGATGGCATTTAAGAGCACATAAGACCCAAAGGTATTAAGATAACACCAACACAGTATGTAGACAAAAAGCACAGACTCACGCTACCAGATCTAGAAATTACAGTATGTATTCACTGAGTCAGAAACAGCCTGTGAAGAACGGTTAACAGATTGTGATAAAAGTAATTTGACAAGTTCAAGATCACGGATTCAGTTTGAGTTCACTCTTTATGAGAGTTAATGATACCACTGCTCAGATCTTTAGACTGAATTAAATAGAGCGGGTTTCGAGTTCGAAAACTAATAGTTGGAATGTACGATAGATACTGTTAATCGCTTGCTTAAATAACAAATATACAACCTATCAAAGAAAATGGGTAGAAACCAATTCAGCTTGATGCAATAAGTCATTCAGTCAAGTACAACGTAGAACTTCGTAAGTGCGTACATAAGTTCATGTTGCCATACATTAGCAAAGAGACGCAATAGTCAGTTCGAATCCCATAGTGGCAGCGATAGTAGAAGTATCAGCAGTAATGGAGAAGAAAATGGTTTGAAGAAATTATTCAAGAAGTATAATTCAGTGAAATAAATTTAAAAAGAGAAGGATAGAGGTGATAACGAATTCAGATCAGAATTCCAGAAAAAACAAAGAATGGATGAACCTGCGCAATTGCAAACGATGTTGAACCATGTCATTCAAGGTCTCGAACCATCGGTTACGATTGTCTACACCTACCAACAAGGCTCAGTCCACTTCTCAGTGACTTCATGGATTTCTGCCATGTTTTGGTTTGGCCGCCTCTAGCTTTCTATCAACCTACTCCGACACCACAAAAGATAGTTCGACAAGATAGTCAGTGGTTGGGCATACGTTAACACATGTCCCAGCCACCTCAACTGATGAAGTTTCAATACCTCATCTATTGATTTGCAATAAACAAGCAATTTCCCACTATAAACCACATCAACTTGTGAAAAGTTGTATTCCATGCCATTTAGGAAAGGAAAGAGGAGGACGATGAAACATAACAACAAAAGGAAATAACTTAAGATTAATCTATATCAATAAACTAAAGCTAAAGATAAATGATATGTACTAGAATATTTAGTGCAACAAGCCGTGAATATGATTATCTTTCTCAGTTTATTACGTTCCGAAACTTTATTGTTGTTACCGAAAAGAGATATTGAGGTTATCAATGACATGATCATAAGAAACATGCTTTCAGCAAGATGAGGTACAAAAAGTTGTCAAGTTTGGTACCATTAGAAGCAGAATAATAGTATTCTGACAACTATTTGGTACCTGTATATATATATATCAAAATAAAGGCAACAGATAATATAAAGTTATGCGACATCACTGGGAAAAAAATGAAGTTAAAATATTGATAGTGAATTATTTTATTAACGGAATATTTCCGTCATAAAAATATTGGTAGGCTTAAACATGTTTGAGTACTTTGTAAGCTGTTTTATACTTGACATCATAGTCAAATGTACCAAAACGAAAGTATATTACGAACAACTCCCGGAAAACGATTTCGACTGTGCTGAACCTATTTTCTCTCAATAAAATATCATTGTCTGCAAATTGGAAGAGCTTTCAGCCTAGAAGAACTACGAAAGTAAACTATCGACAAGACGAAAAACATCACTGTGGAGACAAATGCCAATGATAATGGTTAAATATGGTCTATATGAAGGTGAGATTTGATGAATTACATTTCATGTTGCCAAGTTTGGGAACTTATTGGTTTTAGTATTTATTAGAGCCTATTCACAGGTCTCTAGAAACCAGATCTAATCAAAGTTTCAATTGAAAAATACTCCTAAAACATAATGATGATATATAACTCCAGTAATTTCGTCACATCAAATACTTACCCATTTATGAACGCCATGTTTTTCGAAAATTTCTCTTAGAGACCGTATAACCAAACCAGGAAATGGTTCTTTCCCGAAAAGCTCAGCTTCACGTTTTTCTTCGACACTCAAATTTGCTGGAATAAATTCAGTCTCCAGTTTGTAAATCGCCAATACTCCATCAGTTAAATATTCAGTGAGTTCACAGTTAAATACATAGTAATCTCCTTCACAAACTACATCGTTAGTATTGAACCGGAAATCGGGTCCGAATCGATTGTAGCGAGCTGATGTTATGTATGGCAACTTGAAAATTACACAAACGAAAATCAATAGGTGCATTTCAAATAATGCAATGTACAATTAAACCGAACGCATCAACTAGGACGAAAACGGAAACGAGCTAGAACATGATTTATGGCTGTTTAATGACTAATCTGACCAGACAAGGTCACCAGAATCAGTTAAACAGAAATGGAGAATGCTTAATTGAATTTTTGTATTGTATTGAATTGTAATTGGTCAAAATATAATTTGGGTTGGAGAAGAAGTATGAGATCAGTAAATAGGACAAAGGCTATTGGATACTAATGCGTATGGGCTTGTGAATCATACTTTTGTGCTATTAAAAGTTTAGAGATAAGTTCACCGCTGTGATCAAGTTTAACTCAATCACAAATACTGTGGGACTCACTTCACTCATAAATTCCTAGTTGTTCTGTTTTTGAAAATTTATTGTTGTTACGTGATTTTTATTAACGGACTTAAGGACGTATATAATTTGAGAAAATCACTGGGTTAGGTATGTCAAACGTTATCGACTTATGTATATCCATATGACTCTAATAAAAAATGTTTAATTTCTATTCGAGAAAATACTAGAAACAACATTTATGTGGTCGAAAGTTGATATTTCAAAATTTCATAATTACAAAACTGGCAGTTCATAAGGTTTCATAATAATCAAAAACCTTGGCTATTTACTACTTTGTTCTTTGTGCAATCTTTTGATGATGATTGCTTTCTGGCTGATGTCACGGACCAGCTCATATGTTTCCTTTGATTGTCACATGAGCCTCAACAAAATTAGACGTAATATATTTGGTAAATAGCACATACTTTTGTCGAAACAAAAAGCCTGGAAAGCATAACTTTTACAGCAGAATTGGAAACCAAAAAATTTAAGGAAATGAGTTATTTTCAATCATCTTACTAAAAAATTGAGGAAATAAATTCCGACCGGATGCACTTATAGAGCACAGTTGTAGGTAGGCTTCAACAATACAGATGATCATTTGAAATTCCGTCATCGTTTTCCAAAAACAAACTCCAACCTGTCAAAAACTAGTCAATTACATGCCCTTCTTCAGCTACCAACAACCGTGTAATTAACGAAGACGGTGAGACTATATGCAAAGATGCAGATTTTGAAGATGACACAATTTACGACCGGAAATGAATACTCCTAACTATAAAACAAGATTATTCTTGGCTGTCTTACTTCACATATCTTCTATTTTTCAAGACACTGATCACGCCATACATCCGGACTCAGCACTATTCTCTTCATCCGTAAATTTTCAGGACCAAACTGCTTCAAATCCGTTGTTATAGTGTTTATAAGCTTCGTTGAAAGTAGTACACACCACAGCTATACTGAGTAGTACTTCTTGAAAAAATGATGTAGAATAATTTGAACACAAATTATAAGAAGCTGAAACATCCTGTTCTCAGAAAGAATGCTATCAGTGCACCTCAATATATAAAAGTTCATATTTTCCCATCTTGTTTTAATGGCACAGTGGATTTGTGTAACACTACAAATGTACCAGGAGCTTCAGCCTTTTAATCCTACAGTAATTCATCGAATGAACATTGTTCAGTTGATTTCTTTTCTGAGAATTGTTCAACTCGAGGATAGTTTCCGTCACAAAATATCAATGACACCAGTTTTACAAGTTTTAACAGTCGATTCACTTATTTGATTTTACCATTCAACTATTCAGTGAATCAAATTCAAACTAGAAGAATTCTAACTCGATGCCGAAAGAAAATTTGAAAAAAAAATCTGATATGATGACTTCAAAATCATCGTTTTTTTTATGTAGTTATGTGAATGATGAGTAAAATATTGTAATTTAATTTCACTCTCTATATGAAATCATTTGTATATTTACACCAGTCAGAAAATGTTCTTATCTTCGGAAAAAGAATGGATTAAAATATCGATTTTGTTAAATATAGTTTATTGGTCAATAAAAATGTAATTCCTTTTATTTAGTGTATGTATATGCAACTAACAGGTGAATCCAGTTACTATAATGCATGGAAAATTATCAACACCTTATTGTTCAGCCCAACATAATTCGGACATATATGACGAGAAATTAAAACAATGATAAATACTTGGGAAAAAAATAATTAACAAATAGTTCAAATTTTCAATCGTTTAAGTGTGTATGGATAAAGGTAACAGGAAAATTCATATCTATTTTCAGCAAACTGAACTGACTATATCCGAGAAATAATCAATAAATGATAGTTAAATAGATAGACGCACATTACCAACAATAATGGCAGACGGTTAAATGTACAGAAAAACTGAACATCAACTAGTCTTGAACCATTCGATTTATAAATTAATTGTTTCATACAATTTTGTTTTGCTTCATTTACTGTTCTTCAAACGGATGTTATCGAACGAACATATTTCGGGAGAAATTTAGTTTCCCATTATATTTCTAGGAAGTTTTAAGATTACATTGACTTCGAAAGTCTTTTGGTTGTAAAACCACAACAGGCAGCTTTTTGTTCCGTGAACTGGATTATTGCTATCTATCAAAATAAAAATCTAAAAGTGCATATTTTTTTGAGACTCATTGTAACAAAATTTTACGGATACGATTGCAACTTTAAACATGAATGTCTGTTTGAAAAAAAATTATTGCTAAATCTGTCTTGTAGCAACTGCATTTAATGTAAACACAAAACTTCAGTTTCAAGTCAGCAATTCAATAGTGATAGCTATTCAATATCAAATTAACTAGGGTGCGTACCTATTACTTTTAGTGTAGATTTGTGTAATGGAAAGATTTCAATCATTGAAGTCATTAAAAATATAATCTTTCGATAAAATATCTTTCAAAAACTACGCGAACGATTTCTGATAAACTTGGTCTAAATCTTGGAGAACATTCATTCAAATCACTGTGAAATTAACCTCTTAAAAATCTGCAATAATCATCTATACTACTAACAAGTAGTTCGGAATATCCTTCATATCATTTTATGTAAGCGAATAAGAATTAGAAATTGTGTTTAGGGAAAATTTAAATGTGGCAATTCGATTCTTGGAAAAAAGCAAAGCACGTTTTATATTCAGGTATTAATTTAAGGGAAAATGTATGATGATCTGAAAAAGAAGTGTGTATATCCTACATCGGTACAGATGAGATCAATACTGACAATGAGGAAACTCAACTTCACTGAACCATGCTTCGGAACCCAATCTATTGATAACTCAGGTTTCTTTCTTTGAACATTACCATTTCCCAAATACTGGATTGGTTAACTTCAGCATGATAATTAAAAAGAAAATACCACAAATATTTTGAATTATAAACACCCTTCATGGTAAATACATTCATAACCTGTTACAGTTAAATTGTAGTTAATGCTTCACTGATACTAGTTGAATAACAATAAAAGTTGTTATCTCTCTATACCTGTTAGGATATTCATGAAATATCCTAAAGAAACTATTTTGGTCAATATTCAAGGTCGTCCTAAACTGTCAAGTTCACATACTTTTAAATGTTGTTTCCAATTGGTTAATATTCACGGTCGACTTAACTGCAAAAACATGCATTGTATGTAAAGTTTTATGCTCCTCTGCTTGATGTTTTCTGGGTGCTTGTAGAATACACTTTCTACGCCATATCAAGACTTTTTGATACTGTTAGTGGGGGTTTGGGTCGTTCGGATTAGATTAGCCTATCGTGTCAATGGATCATTTGTCTTAGCTCTCATTTACCGAACTCGTAATAGTTCAAGCATATCAACTGACGAGTCATAACAATACCATTTCTTACTCATAGCTATGTTGTAACAATTCTACCTAATAAATGACATTTTCTAAAAATTCAGTTCAATTACCGATCAGATTATTCGTTAAATTTATTTCTAATTATATTAGAGGGAATTGGACAAAAGCCAATTAACATATTTAAAATACTCATTTGTATAAGCTTATACGCTGATTATTTTCGTATGAGATATTAGTTGTTGTAATTGAAGGTTAGTTTGATTTAATCAGTTAACAAATAATGATTAGTAAATTCCATATACTGGTGGCCTAATTTAATGAAAGTCAAAATGAACCAGAAGTGTCTTATATTTCTCTAGAACTTAAGAGTTCATTAGCTTATGCCAATATTCTTTGCATTTAATTTTTGCTTATTTAACTGTCACTAGCGGAAAAATACAAAGGTAAATTTTTATCATTCATTTAGTCATCTAATCGTACACCTAAAAGTAGATAATTCTGTGATACCTAAGGGAAACAACGTTCAGTCTATTTATTTAAATTTCATCACGTTTGATAGTTGGTACTACATATAGTCTGTAAAAGATAACATCAAGTTAGGTAGCTATTGTAAGACGTATTTCATACTAAACTCTGTTTCAGTACAATCCAGTACTTACTAAAATGTAAAATATAGTTAATAATCTACTTTGCGCAACGTTATTTATGTGGCATAAACAGAAAGATGCGCTGATATAATTACTCATACTTGACACATATATATTTGTTGAACAGAATTTCCAATCCAATATTTTCCTGATTGGTGGTATGATTTATTCCTTGTGACGTTTAACCATTGTATGGGACTCAAACCCAATACTCATCACTGGGAACGCTTGACTGATTGTAAGGGACGTTAGATCCCCAGAACTCACTTGAAAAAGGTCCTAATTTCGGATTTTATGCTTTCACACAGGTTTGTCAGTTGAATTAGAGATTACATTTCCCGCCCTGGAAATCCTTGACTGTCATTGGTTGATGTGTTATTTTAGTACGCCATTTTTGTGGCTCTTCTAAAGACGTTTCTATCATGCATAAACAAACCCGATTTATGTGCTTGTCAACCTAGTATTTTCTGGGTGCATGTAGAATACACTTTCTACATCTTGTCAAGACTTCTTCCTCTACTTAGTGGGGCCTTGGGACGCTCAGATTAGAGTAGCCTATCGTGTCGCTGGATCACTGATCCTTGCTCTCGTTTACCGACTAAGGTGAACTCGTAATAGTTCAAGTATATGAACTGACGAGCATAACACTGATGTAGACTAAAGTCAGGACGATTGTCAATTATTTGATGTTGGAAGAGTTTTGAATTATTCACTGTAGATATTGAAAAACAAATTTAGGGCTCAGGTATACAAATACCAGTGTTAACCAATATCAGCTATATATGACTAAATATATATATATATATATATATATATATATATATATATGCAGACAGTATACTAGGCCACCTGAAAAAGCTGCGACGTCCAGCTTATTTAATTTTGAATATTAATGGTTAGAACATTGAACCCCTTTCAAAGATGATTCATTTTTTTATAATCCTCTTATGATGGAAATCATCACAGACTGATTTATTATCTCTTATGAAATATCGACTTGAATTGATTGTTGATTATTTTTAATCGGGAATCAAACGTTTTATTGTGTTGCACAGTGACAATGTTCAAAATACTCAAAAGCATTTTTTAACAAGAATAAAAGCAAATTCATAGAAAAACATGTTAAATGTAATTATATATATATATATATATATATATATATATATATATATATATATATAGATAGATAGATATTATTTATATCAATAAAAACACTTCACTATCAAAATAATATCTAACAAAATCAAATGATCAATATATATATTGTCTATACGTAGTGGAATGAGTTTTCTTCTTTATTTTTGATCAGATATTCGCATACAGTTGTATTGTTTATTCTTCAAAATTATAATTATTATTTTTACTTCGACTGAGGTCAACATGTTCAGGATGAGCATCTTCAAATAAATCACTGACATAATTGTATGGATAACGTATTTCAATTGGTAAAGCTAAATAATCTTTATATGAAAGAATATTTTTATATTGTGAAGATTGTGAACAATTATTATTAATATTATTATTATTATGATTATTATCACTTAAATTTAAAGAGCATGCACCAGGATCTTCTATTGAATTAAACAGTTCATATGATAAATGATATTGATTATCGTCAATAGTTGAATGGAATTGTTGTTTATTTGATGAACAAGTAGTTAATTTTCTCAAATGTTGTACACACTAAGAAATGTTGTAGAAGAATAAACAATTTTATTGTTCTCAACTAAACAATATGGAGATAATAATAATAATAATAATAAAAAACCTGTACACTCAATGATGATTAGAATGAACATTTTCGACATTCAATACTGATTGAATTCTATACTTGAATTAATAAATAGGGTAAGCTACAAAGAATAATCAATTTTTCCAGGTTAAATTACATTGATGAAATACATTTCATATATGAACTTCAAATAATTCAAAATCAGATCTTAATTTATAGATGCAGGTCTATGTAGAGTCCGTATTATGCTTTATGATAAGCGAAATAATTGCAGATTACAACACACTAGTAAGAAATTACGCGTAGTTACAATTATTGATTAAAAATAGTATTGTTACGGCTGACTCCTGTGGTAATTCCGTTGATAACGGATCGATTTCTGTATTTTAAGCAAAAACGTATTCGTGGCTTATCTGATATCTCATTTCCTGTGACTCTTGATAATAAGAAAACCTACTGATCGTTTGCATTCAGCACGCCTTGGAATACCCGCTGAAGTCTCCAACAAACAATCAACCTTATGGATAAAACATACAAAAATTCCTCTAATCCTAGTAAGATTGAGTATTAGTGTGATATGGTCTAGTTTTGTATGTGTATAAATGTCTGAAATTTAATAACGACTAGGATCTTGAACTGATGGTCATTAGACTTATTTTATTTCTCGGTGTTCGAAGCCAGTTACTATTGGGTCAAATCGTCAAGCATACTGGATGCTCAGAGGTCGTCTATGAAAGGTCTGCTGAATTGACACAAGATCCGCTTTAAACGACCCCAGGCTAAATCTACACTGAAACTTGAACAAAACACCTCAACTGATAGAGACGCACTACTTCAATTGACCTACCATCTTCACCTAGTACAGTTTTCGTGACTCTGGTAATATGTACTCAGGATACACGAGTAATCCTTCGGGGATTCTTATGATCGAATACTAGTAACCTACGAATATCCTCTTTTCTAATGACCAGACTCCGAATCCGTATAGTAGGACGGAGCGAACAGCTGAACAGTTCACTCAACCTTTGGTTGGAAAACAGATATCTTGACGATGGAACAGGTGACGCAATTTGGCAAAAGCCAATCGAGCCTTCTGTCTCCACGTCACCAGGCCATCAGCACCGATGAAATTCCCGAGATATATGAAGCGGTCGACATGCTCAACTACTTAACTTCGTATAACCAATTCAGGTACCGATGCAAGCTAATCCTGGAGAGACATTTTGCATTTCGATGGGGAGAATCTCATCCCGAACATGCTTGCATTGTTGCTTAAGGTGGTCAGCAGACTCTGAATTTTGTCTGCGTCTTCACCAAGCACAATTATGTCAACAAGAAGGTCAACTCCTGGAAAGTCAGACGATGAGAGTCGTCTCTAGAAACATTACAATGGCAAAGTTAAGGAGTAATGGAGAACGTGGACAATACTGATGAATACCACTTAAAGCAATCCATCCAGATAACAGTTCGCCACAAGCCGCCTACACACTAGATCAGTAGTGTTCGAGTAAAGAGCTTGTATAGGGATAATGTATTGCTGTGGTGCTCCTTTCCGTGACAGCCACTGTCATGGAAACTCACAACCAACCGAGTCAAATGCCACCTTTGTGTCCAAAAATACTATCATTACGGGACGTGTGAACATGTGTCCATGTTCTAGAACCTGACGCAGTGTGAATATCTGGTCTACACAGCCACGTCCACATCCAAAACCAGTCTAGGTTTATCTAGTCTGCTCTTCACCAGCTCTTGTTAGGCGCCGAAGTATTATTGAGGCTAATATTTTAGGCAGCAATAGTTCAATTGATTCCGCCTTGGTTGTTGTAACAGGAATCTTGTCCTTCTTTGCCGACCGGGACAACCAGCGATTGAGACCAGTCAGATGGGACTACGTCCAGTTCCCACGTTATGGCTCAGGGCTTAGTCAATCTAACAGCTAAAACTGAACCTTCATCCTTAAAAATCTCAACGGTTAATTTATCAGGGCTTGCTGCTCTCCCTCGCTTGAGGTTGCCTATAGCCTTTTCAACCTAATTAAGAATTGGAGGAATTACATCAACTTGAAAATTAGGTTGACTGGAGATCGTAGGTAAGCGAAGTGTAGCTGAAGGCCAGTGGAACTGATCCGATATCAGCTCTTTTTAAAAGGCTTTATCACCGGAGATGGAAATCTGTGAGGTGTGACAATTTTAGGGTCAACCTTCAGTAATCCCCTCCTTGGTTGTGAAAAGGCAGTATCGCTTCCGATGCTGGTTGTCCGAGGGGAACACCTTACAGTTGTCACAGCCCTTTACAGTCAGTAGTACTGTGGTGTGTGCTACTTATACAAACGATATAAGTAGTATAAGAAAAGACGTGAAAGAAGTCTCACGGTCAGAAGAGGAAAACGGAAAGCAAATGGAGCAAAAGCAAGAAGTAAATGGAGTACCAACAGGAAGTAAAGGAAGCAACAGCAGAAATGGAAGAAGGATGGAGCGTTGGAAGTCACGACTCAAAGATGGTGTGCAAATAGATTATTCAATGTAATGTTTTCGTTTTTAATTGACTAAGTGTAAATATGCTTAATACAACCTTCCGCGCCTGCCTCAGTCTTCTCAGTACGACTGCGCCCTCAGACCTTGAGTTGCTACTTTTAGTCTCATCGTTCTCCAATCGATCTGCCTAGCATGGTGAACCTACAAGAACATATGTTCCAGCCAATATAACTCGGTTTGGTCATCACGATAGGCAAGCTCAACCACCACATCAAGGTGACAGCGACGGTCGGGATTTCGTAAATAAGTCACTGTTCATTGATGAACAATATATTAACTGTAAATTTTTGAGACTTTCAATGGTTGTCCAACTTATGTTGGTTTTTGATCACAATAATACCGTATAAGCCCTACAAGCCCCGCACTAATATTTGTTCTTAATTGTAATTTACCTAAATATTTGTTGAAAAATTCGAATTCACTCAACATATAAGCTTGTATGAAATAAGTGTGAAAAGCGCTAAACTATGGTGAAATCATAGTATGCAACAGCGATTATGACCTAAATTTCTGTGAAAGGAACCAAATACATGAAAAATAATGACATTTGTCAACCGTAATGACAAAAGTGATATTGATTATCATTATTTACAAGAGATTTAATATAATTATCAAATTTTTCTCCTAATGTAAGCATAAACTCTAATATTAACCGGTATATAATTGTTGTAAATGATAAGACTTACTCAACATTGATATTTTCCCGGAGAAAACAAAAAAAGTAATCATTGTGTAGATTAAAACATTTTTGAAAAAATAATTTACCCAGTAAACAAATAAAATTAATACGTAACACATACTCTTCTTGCTTGCATAGATCTTCTACATGCATCGGGACGTACTCTACGCACTGGTTCTTTACAATCTTCACGAGAAGATAAAATCACTTCAGCATCTGTTGGATTTTCAATTACATCGATTTGATCATTCTCCATTGCATGATTATTCCTTACATAATTATGACTTCGGTTTTTCTGTGAGATTGAAATTCAGTGAAAATGAAATGTTAACAAGTAGACTTAATCTTGATATTTTATAAATAAGATCAACTTTACACTGTCAGTGAACATTTGATAATTTGTATCAATATAAGGTTGTACCATGTGTTGCTTGTAAGTTACTAATGAATGACTGGAAATAAAACCCAGGCAAAGTTTACCATAAAAGTAACTTCTCTTAATGGTTATCGGTTTTGATATATGTCCAATATTACTATCCACATAAGCGACATTTGTGAAAAAAATGAAAACGGGCTAATAGTATAAAACGAATGATAACAACCTAGAGTTTTGCCAAACAAGACGAAATTGAACATTACAAAAACGTTCATCTAATCATCATCAAACTAATTCAAGCCAGAAAGGTGTTCGTAAGACGATGTAAGACATAATTATGCCGTTCAGCAACGGAGTATAATGAAGTCTGAAACCCGTTAACCAAGGGTTAACTGTTTAAACCGATGTATTGTTTGGAATCTATTTTTGTACAGAAATTCACTAATCCGTTAAAATAAGCATGTCCATACTTGTTTTAAATTTATTTGACTGCTTAGTGGTTTTATAAGTTTGAATTTGCACATTGATCGGTTCTTATACCAACACAGCTAACTGATGAACTGGAGATAAGGATTCTTAAAATACTACATGTTTTAAATGATAAAGGATAAAACTTTAAAGACTATAAATAATACTGACAAAATTTTCAAACTAATTAAGTCATTTTTCTTAAGATTAACAGTAAAGAGAAATTACTACGACATAAACTTTGATGTTTTCTCAACTTAAAGAAAGTGTAACCGTTAACACAGTTTCATAAGATGGTAATCAAAACCAGAAACACAAGCAGCTACTCAGTAATTTTCTGTATACTAGCCAGCTACAACCTATAACTTAGTACTTAGGCACATCAGCTTAATTTGCCATACCGCATTAGCAGAAAGAGATCGAATTGTCAACTCAAATCCCATAGTAGTGGAGGTCGTAGCAGTATTAGCGGCATTGGGAGAGATTAGGGTTCGAAGAAGTATATCCAAGTGAAACAAATATAAAAACAGAAAAAATGTGATGAGGAATTCAGAAGATTAGAATTTGAGAGGATACACAGAATGGATGCATCTACGCCATTGTAAACGACTTTGAGCAATCTCAACCAACTGTTACGAATGTCTCGTGGACTCTAACCATTTAATAAAATGGCTTATTGTAATTTTCAGTGACTTCACGGATTTATCGATGTTTTGGTTTGGCTACTCCAACCTAGTCCTACATCAGACAGCATCGCACAACGAGGTAGCTGGTCATAGAGCATACGTAACACATGTCCCAACCACCATAACTGATGAAGACTCACTACTTCATCAATTGATTTGTCAACCTTCACTGGTACTTTTTTTCTAACCCCAACATTGCTTACTCGATGGTCTCACGATACATGAGCAATGTATGTATGAATAATCAAATCACATCTAGATACAAAATTTTGCATGTAACAATAGTGTGGTGTAGCACAATTCTGTGAAAATTGGCCATATAGACATCTGAAATGGATGAATCGAAAGATCAAATAAACAATGAGAAGGCATAAAATTTATCATTTTTCTATTAAAACTCGTATATGAGATATCTAGAGTTGTAAGGATTGGTAGATAATCAGTCAGTGAGGTAGGGGGTTTAATTAACTTACCTTTTTCCAGTCTAAACAGGAAGGAAAAGATTTTCATGTAATGAACAAGTCCTAAATATGATTAACCGAATCAAAAATTATCGCGTAGTATAAGATTTATGCTTTGGTCTTTAACGTTTGCACATATGCTAATGTAATTATCCTATTATCAAGCAAATCACATGCTTTTAAAAACTAAATAATATTAAAAGCATAAAATATCAGATATTTTATAGATTATTAAAGATATTCAACAGAGTAATGAAGCCTCTTCCACATCATAACAAGCAATCATATTCGTTATCTCGTTAAGATCAAATACAGTAATTATGGCTGTCAATCGAAATCTTCACTTACATATACCAATTAAAGAATGAATACTTAATAGGGAATGCGGAATGTTTTTAGCAGTAAATAGTGTACAGAAAAACTGGCTTGTAAGATTTTATGTTGCAAGTCAATGTGACTGAGTGGCTACACCGATAATGAACTTGTAATTTTACTTTAAAACTAGAGTATGACAGTGTTGTTTAAATCCATATATCTAGTTTCTGCTTAGACTACTCATGATGATTACATTTATGCAATGAAAAATAGCAAATTTTCTAAAACATTATTGCGTAATACGTAGATTATATACAGTGTAACTACCATAATACAACAATCGAATATAAAAAACGCAAACACACATTTAAATAACCTTTAGATTAAGATGAACATAATTACTAAATTTAAACAGAAAATTTTTTCTTTAATTTTCACACTAACAAAATAAAATAAATACAATTTAATACGAAAATAAATGAAGGTAAATCATTAAAACAAATTCAGAACATGATAACAATCCACTGAGACAAAAAGTAGAGTAACAAATAGAGAAGGATTGTGTGTGTAAGCGCAAGATTCAACTCGAGTAAACTCACACATATATATACGTAACCACATGTGTAATCATAAGACAAAAATTATGACAAGGAAAACACAATGATGTATAACATTACACAGTGGGTATCTAGAGATAAAACCAAGCATAATATGAATAGGACTAACTAGACAGACATTATTAAGCATGGTTGCATTTGAGCATATGATCATATGAGTTATAAAGAAAGATGAGCACGTACGTCTGCTGTAATAAGAGGGAGTAAAATCTGGATTTATCAAAAGACAAAGTTAGTTCAGAAGTTTTGATGTCCATGAAATGGAATATAATTGAATATTACGTAAGAATATAAACAAATAAACAGCAGAAATACAATCTCATATATACAAAGAAATATATATATATATATACATAGACATCGTAACTGTACAAAACAAATCCAGATCTTACAATACATAAAATACATTCTTAATGAAAGTTGAAAGAATAAAAAAAATATTAGCATTTCTATACAACATGATTGTCTGCATGATTTGATAGATTATTAAACAAATATCTCTTCAATCATTATCAACAAGCCATGAATCTAAAGTAGACGGACGCATATGTTGAGTTTTATGGCGTTTTTGATTGTTCAACTTTGCTTTATTACTAGATAGCATATCGTCATTGTTATCACATGGATTAGTGTAAGTTTCAAGATGTTTTAATTCAAATGAAGGCAAACCTTGAGAGATGAATATATCTGAAAAACTATCCACATTTTCTAAATATAATTGCTGGAAAAAAAAGAAATGAAAAAGAATATTAAAGTATGTAGAAGGGATAAAATCAGATTGAAAAAAAAAATTTTTTTTTAATGAAATTAATAATCATGATTTTAACAAACATTTATCAAATTTCAACAGCAATAAAGCTGCTAACATTCAAGAGATATTAAGAACAATCGAAAGAGTAGTATTGTTACTATCACGAAGTAACAAGAATGTTGTATCGTGTCAAGGGTTTATTATTGAAAAGTTTATGGAGTGTACAAACGAAACCAGATGATTGAATTTCTGCTTACAATGACTATTATTCCACATTTATATTACAAATGATAATATTTTCTGTAATAATTAAATTATATTGTAACCAATAATTAGAGAATTCGTTTTTTTTATTCAGTGAGTTGACTGCATGCCGTATCACCTAATTCAGTTTGGCTAGTTATGTAGTATTATTTATTATGATTATCATTGGGCTTCACAGAAAAAAAAATTAACTTAAGGATGAGTATGGAAATTTGTACTTAGTACTTAGTAAATAAGTTGTATCATAGAGGCAATAATGAGGAACAAACAAAGATAAGTCATTTTAAAGTTTAAGGAAAAAAACTCACTTTTTCGTTAGACAAATGTAAAAGACAATTTAAAGCAATTGATATGCTAAGTTCTTTAGCCATTTGCCAACTTATACGACCTGATAAATTGTCGATAACTTCTGAGAAGCCTCGAGCCCCGGAAACTTTAGGCAGACCTGATGTTCTTTCAGTGTTTGATTCAATAACATGCTCATTCACTGGATACTGTTGTTGGTTTTCATTTAAATTAGTAGCAGATGTTGGCTCGTCTACGAAACTACTAGCATCAGGAGCTGAGGTTGTAGAAGCAACAGATAATGGTGACTGAGATGGAATATTTAGGCCAACATGAGGAATAGAATGTTCAAGAAATCCCCACATGGCACACTTTAATCGTTGAACATTTATCATTTTCGCAGTTCGGGCGTAACCAATCTCAATGCGTGCCACTTTATTTGGTTGAGAAATTAATTCCATATCAGCTAATTCTCCATCATTGTAGCCAGTGTTCTATAAAAGAAAATGAACGAACAATGTTACATTCATTGAAATTTAGTTTATTTAGACAGTGCATTTAAATTTTATTAACAATATAATTTAGATTATCATAAATCTACAAATCGAAATTTTTTGTTTCATTCAAGTAGAAAGCTGAATTTATTTTACTTAACACAAAAACCTTAATGAAAACGAGAATATACTGAAAATGAATGTGCTGATTAGCCTGAAGAATGATCAATAACTATTGTACAACAAGAATAAATGGGTATACACATGATAAAGTATAATGCATAAAAAAGAACATTATGTAACTTTTCAGGTATTAACTGGTGTGAAAAGTACAAAGTTCGCAGGAATAGTTTGATCAACTTTTGTGAAATTTAGTATTCTGATTTTGTGCACATTAAGTGGAAATATCAACTCATGACTAATATTGGGAACGATGATATAACACAACACAGACCATTGTAGTTGATAAACGAAAAGACAAAACGATTGACTAAGTATAATAAAACACTGCAAAATAATTACAACAATGTTATTAGAACAGATATCTGCCTATACTACATATTATACTACAGTCATTAAATTATGTCTAGATATTAGCTTCCAAACAATATACCTATTTTAGCCTATAAAAAAATCATCTGTACTTGATACGTTCAGTTAGAAACGTATTAGTGGTTTTCAAAATCATAAAAATAAACAAATCACTGATGAGGTATGTATTTTATGTGTGGTTGTGGTCATAATTAACCCCTTTGAAAATAAAAATAAATACATGAATGATCGTTTATCCAAACTGTGTTTGTGGAAAAAAAATACAAATAGATTACTTAGTTTCACCAACAGACTTTAGTTTAGTTTATCTATTACGCACTTATTATGCGTGAAATCACCAGACTACTTTGGAATCCCATAAAACAAATATTGAATAAAATTTCTTTCATACGCTTACTTGTGTAAATGCACATTCGAATGGGATTATTGCGTCATCATCATCGTCGTCGTCATCTTGATGGTTCCCCAGCTGATCAAGTCCACCGTCAACATCTTCATACTCATTGTCGACAGGTCGTTCAGAGCTACCAACATTTAAAACTGCGCATAATTCATTAGTTCCAATCATATAGTCTGCATTCTCAGCCTGACAATTAGAAACAATGAAGAGCAATAAGTTCATTGACATAAGCACTGTATAGTACACCACAAATAGCTCAGTCATAACGTCTCAGATTGGGAAGCTATGTGACATGAGACCGAGCACAGATTTTCTCAAGATTAATGGCACATTTTGTTGACAACTGCCGAATCGCAGTGTTTTCTGTCGATTATCTCCAACCAAACAACATCTAGTGGAACGGTATGTCAGTTATTTCCATAACTAACCATTCAAATCGTGGTTTAAGCGCTCACCCCATGATCTGGTCTGATGTGTCTGTAATCTATCTATGTTGTAAATGACCTAGAGTGACCTAGAGTGCATCTGTAGGACGAATCAAATCCTACACGGTAAATTAGTGATTAAAACATTCAACTTATAGATGTGAAATTGCGAGTCAAAACGCCGCTCCAGTTGTTTGTATCCGAACCACCGGTAACACTAACCCTCACACATTGCCCAATTAACTGGTTAATGAGTAAGTTATTACCTTTATTTATACCGTATAAATACATTTATTTAAAACAAAATACAACAACAGTCTAAATGCGTATTGGACAGGTAGCTTTAACTACAATTTGGAGATCGATGGCACTCACCAGTAGCACATAATAAATAATAAATTTATGGATTGTTTGAATGTTTGAGCTTAATTGGTGTAAAGATTCCACGATATATATATATATATATATATATATATATATATATATATATATATACTCTGATACACTAGAGTGAATCTCAAAATAGAAAACGAACAATTAGTAAATGATACACCTAATTTATGACAAATAGTTAACACTACGAACATTTACCGTAATGTTATTGCAGTTTGTGAGATTTCTACCATCAGAAAGGACATTTGAACGCAGAATCACATCTCGATTAACAAGTTGATATAAAGTCTGACGCGAATCAGACCATTCTGAAGGAAGCATGTTCATTTGACGATTGGCTTTCTGTCTGTAGCTTTCTTTAAATACAGTAGAGTTGGACGCGGAACTATTCTCTACACCAGAGGATAGGACATTTTTGAGCCAATCTCGTCTGGATAGTTTACCACTCCTAATATATGATGAAAAAGAATAAAATGGTCAAACTTAAAAGTAAAAACGGACGAATAACAACAACGTGAGTGAAATAAAACTGAAATTCATAGATTTCTATGTCATTTAGGATAATGGTGAATAATATGTGATAAAATATGACTGTGATGTGTTCACTCTAGTCAAGCTGATAGCCGGCAGAGAAATTGAACACTGTTCATTAGCTTACATAATTATAAAAGAATCAACAGCGTTTCTGCTAACATAGAATTAATTAACTAATATTATGTCTTGTATGCCTAGATTTCATTAAGTCCCTCATACTCAGACCCTATAATGATAGTAAGTTATAAATCCAGTATTTGTAAAGATAAAATCATAAAAAAATATTTCAGTGACATTTTTATCGCCTAACAATAAAGAGGTGTTCATTATTCAAGAGATACCATAACAGCTATTGCAATCATTGAGTTATAGTAATGTTTATTGAGCTTGCGATTATTTTTATGTAAAACGAGAAATAATGATTGGTATTAGTAAATTACTCACTGATAAACTCTAATAGACCTCAGTAATCATTTCTTTTTTAATGTTAATATAGATCAGTTGTTATTTTTCGAGACAAATTACATATTACTAGAATAAACATCCAAGTGTTGATGATTAGAAAATGTAAATCGATGTACGAACTGCTGAGGATAAAATTTGAAAAGGATTGATGAATTATGGTTCAAAGTTTTTTTTTTCGAACACATAAGGATACGAAGAGGATAAAGAAAAAGACCTATTATGAGTTAGGCATCAACAAGTACTACTCCTTTAGTGATGGTGTTGATTTCCACAACTAAAAAGTCAGTGGGTACACTTTCGAAATTTGAAGTTTTTTTTACTTACATAATCGGTTCCGGTAAATACGAGTTTAAACCTCACACAGTAGTAGTACGAATATAATGGATAACTATGGTTCATTTTAGAATTACAAAGTGTTTTGAATGTTATGATCATAAATAATCAATTTAATTTAGCCTACCTTAATCACTGAGTCATTAGGTTGCTTCAAAAGAGTTATTTCAATTCTGAAACACGTGTCTAGCATTTAAAAGATCTAGAACTACTTAAATCTACAAGTGGATTAAAACACCAAAACACAGATAAAAGCTACATAGTCAACAATAACCATTAATGGAACTCGGACAAAATCTACTTAAGAGTAGTGAACATTTAGACGTTTGATTGGAATGTGAGGAATCAGTGGAACAACGACTAAGCGGATAAAAAAGAGCCTTTAACGAATTCGGTTTTCAGATTAAAATCTTGCTTCACCAGTTTTGGTAGGAGCAGTCAAGTAGAATCGGTAAATCTTATAAAATGTCAATAAAAGAAAACGAATACACAAACATGGATTTGGCAGTTCGGTTGCGTTAACATTGGTAATTAATAAAAAAAATATAAAAGGAATAAGCGAAAAGACTTAACAACAAGTATTTGAGTGACCACTTTCCAGTGTGAAAATATTATTCTTAGAAGTGCAATTTACAAATGCTTTTTTTTTCAAGAACAGCTATGTTCAAACTAATCGTTAATTTCAACTTAAACAAAGTTAGAACAAGATATTTGAATTTTACATCGAATTGTTAGAAATACTACCGTGCTAAGAACTATTGTATGTAACAAGTATTCTTCCAGTCGACTAGATAATATATACAATTGATAAACTTACCTCGTTCGATTCTCGCTTGGTTGCATTGTTTCACTATAAGAAATTCTTAGCGCTTTATCTTTTTTCGATTTGGTCATTTTTCGACTAGCGATTGTTTTGACAACTTTCGTTTCATTCTCACCTGGTTCATGTTCCAAGTTTTTGTCAGGGTTATCTGAAATCAATAGTAAATGGATTTTCCAGAAAAATAACAATCATGTTGAGAAGATTAAAAGGTTAAAAACGAACTCATAAAAAATCTTAGGTAAATGACTTCAAAACACTTAAGTGTTAGGATATCAATATTACTGTGAATGATGATAAAATCACCTAACAAATGAAACAAAAATAGCAGTGTTCAATTGTTTGATACACATTAGGAAAAAAAACCTCAGAACTTCAGTTGCTGCTTTTAATCTTGAGATAATACTATTTTTAAACACATAAATAATAATTTTTCACGAAAGTCATATGTACGGAGACCGTTTCATCTTTAGATACATAAATGGTATGATTAATTTCAAAATATTAACATCCTATTTAAAGGAATTATCATTACAACGCAATCTTAACATATAAGTGACATAGAATCACATAATGCACACACAAAAAGATGGCATAGCAATGGAATCCTTTCTTCGTTAATTGTAAACAGATTATTTCATATCTAATGTTTAAAACGATAAATTAGAGATGACTATCAACGGACTTTTACTTGCATAAAAAGCATATGCATGGTACTTCTATCATTCGTGACAATAAATGCAACTTGAATCATACTTAATAGGCATTCAACAACTGCTATCTGGTAATAAGATTCACACTTGAAGCTGGAAAACAAACTGATCATTTTCTCGATGTTCAAGTGTCGAGAAAACCTGATGAAACACTCAGATCTATATACAAAACGTCCTCATAGAATGGTCGCCTATCAATCTTTTACGATTCAGTTCCCATTAATAGAAACAGGACTTAAAATAAATGCCTTGCTAAGTGAATACAAAGAATTTGCAGTTCCGACGTCATAAATGAATCTTCGAATTATGTAATTTAAAAAGTATGCAATCAGTTTAATTTCTTCAAACAAATATACGACAATGGTTAACCTAAAATCTTAACTTCAGTCATAATAATTGGTCGATCAATTGATAGAGAAACTATTTTGAAGCTAGTTATTGCTTTCAGTAGAAACGTGAAGTCACTCTTCGAACTGGAGACTGTTGTGACGTTATCATATATGATCAAGGATAATGAATTCAAGTACAAATTTGGTATCCAATTACATCATTGATTTGTAAACACTATCTATATGTTAATTGATGAGATTCAACGTATTGGAGTTTATAGCTGTATGCAAGCATACAAAAAGCACCAATCTTAGGTTCTTTTACGAGTGTATGTACAATACGTCGGTTGGCACAGAAAAGTAAAGGAATAGAGTGTTGACACTTGGAGCGTTTAAGAACGCATTCAACAACTATATTGTGAATAACAGAAAAATATTTGTGGGGATGAGATTATATGTTTTCAATATGTATTGATAGAAAAGTTGGCTCACAGTATTTGTGCAACTCTCGTTTATGACTATATTACTTATTAGTAGTCAAGGTTTATCCCCTTTTTCTAATATCTCATTGGTTGAATCAAATATTGATAAATTGGCTATGTTCTTATTGGTTGAAACAAATTTTGCAGAGAAAACCATTCTGAACCAGTAATTTTTATGTTGGATTGTTTTACTAGTGACTGTTGTTGTCGTCGGCTTGTCACCTCGAATGTAAACTTACATTTGATTAATCACGACTTATTTTCTACTACAAATGTTACAGTTAGATATCGAATGAGATTTATTAAATATGGTATGTTATGCTATCATGTGAGATGTTAATCCTTTATCTTTCTATGATCCTGAGTGAATTATACGTCAGCTGTTGATCGTTACTGTATACATTAACTGCATTAGTAAGTACAAAAGGAATTCACAATGTGGCAATGAGGACGTAGGTTTTCTCAAGTAGGCGAAACCACAAACCTAGGAAGAATTGAAATAACATTTCATCAGACACCAATAAACTATCGGGCTCATTTATGGAAATAAAAGGAGCAAGTAAAACGAACAAACCTTCATTTGATTTAACCGCACCATCCAACTTTGGTCTTTTAGCTTTTTTACGCCAATGTTCAGGTCCTGCCCACATACCCAATAGATGATCATTTAATTTTCCAAAATGTTCATACTGTTTATCCAGCATGTTTTTTAAACACGATACAAATAATTCACCGTCTGCTGTAGTAGCAGTAGTAGTAGTTGTACTATATAAGTATTGAAAATTAATTTTGCTTAAGAATAATAAAAATCAGTATCTGAAATGACAATATAAATATTTATATATATATTTGCTCAGATTTCATTTTTGCCGCATGTAGTACTGTGATACTATTCTAATGTGACTGAAGTGCTCATAGCGTTCTTAGGTATCTTAACATATTAACAATTCACACAGAGAGTTGTGAGTATGACCTAGAGGGAATAATTTAGTTTAACTGGATAGGTGTATAATTTTCAATCTTTTTAGTAATAATGTGGTGCGCGCTACTTATAAGTAGTATATGACGCAAGTAAAAACGTAATGTCTAGCAGCAGAAGATGGGGGAAGATCAAGAAAGAAAGAGCGGGAACACAATGGGATTTGTATGAAACGCATGAACAGTGAAATGTCAGACAATGGATTGATGTCTTGCAACAGGAACAGTCCAGTTCGATATGATGGATTGATATTTTTCAAATTAACGATTTACGATATAGTTTTCCTATTTTACCAATTAACTCTGTAATTCCAGATAAATACAATTCGGTTGCCCTCACCTGTGTTCTCCTTCACTGCAACAACTGTTGCAAAGAAAGACTGAAATTATGGTCATTACTTTAATATATAGCATAGCAAGCCAACGGACAATGGTGAAAAGTAAATTTCAAAATAGCAAAACTGAAACCGGAAATTCTGTAAATTGGAAAAGCTTATTGATGAAAAATAACCATTTTGATAATGCTGAATTGTTCTGTACTTTTTAGGCTGTTTCATGAAATCTTCACATAAACTTTAACAAAACATTATTTCATGAGATGTATATATTTAAATATGACAGTTGATTTGAACTACATAAGCTTTAAATAATCAATTAATTCGCTAACTCGTTCTTTTTTGAATTGACATGAGTAAACACAAAGAGAATACGGTGAAAATCGCATTCAATATTGTTACAGCATTTTCTACTACTCAGAAGAAGTAAACATTTACATACCGATTCATGATCAATACTCTAGTATCTTAAAACAATCAATGTTTCAAGTTATCACGGTAATTTAAGCACGACTCATGACTATGAAATTGTTGAATGAGGAAAATTTCATGATTAAAGTATTATTAGTCAATTCATATGTGCATTTGTGTAGATTGAACTTATTTAAAATAATAAAAGATTTTTGATAATTGAATCAATTAGTTGAATATGAAATGCACAAAATGTGACTTCATTTTTCGGTCATCATATGATGTACAGTCTTTCATATAATTGTTTAGAAATATTGGGGGTGGGGATTTCAAAGATTCTACATTAGACACACGATTTTTTTTAGTTCACCCAATAACGACAGTGAAAAATAAAGTACCAAAAAAATTGCGTCTACGAAATTAAACGTGCTGATTGTAATATTGCTCTATGTGTAACAGGAGATATGAGGGTAGCTGAATGTAAGGGTGAAGAAACAGAGTTTGTAACTACTAATTCATGTATATAGATGGACAGATAGATGAATATATATATATATATATATATATATATATATACATTACTTTTCAGTAACAGCCAATAGATTGTCAGACCCAATATTATTATTTACAGCTTCTGCTGATGAACCATTCACCTCGACTTGCATTCCAGTTTCGAACACTGGTTCCACGTTTATATCTGTAGTAAGTAGAGAAACAAATATGGGAATTAAATCATATGTACTTAGAAGGTACTGATAACTCTTTCAGATTGCATGATATATTTTGACATAATGTAATGGTGTGGTTTAGGCTCTTTTAACTGAGTAGATCATAAGTGCGAACAATATTCTATATATCAAGTAACACTATTATTATAGGCATGATTTATAATCTAATTATATATGAGGATGTAATGCAATTAATAAGGCAACGATATCCAGTCCTATTTCATAAAACTGATTTCAGTGGTATGCTAATAACTTTGTTTCAAGAAAAAATTTATATTGAAGATAACATTATAGGAGTAAGACATAGTATTATATTATAGGACTTTTTCAGCATCATAAAGATAGTAAAAAAAATCGTTTAGCTTGAAGTTGTCACTCTAGATTTGTTTTAAATAGCGATCCATTACTAATAAAATTTTACGAAAGCAATCAGTGTCATAAAACAGAAGCTTATCAGCTTTAAACTAGTGTTGCCGAAACAAATCTCACAAAATGTTGAATATTTTTATTTGAGTGCAGAATAAACATTTGTGGTGCAACTTATCTAATATAAAAGTTGGATGGTTATTGAAATTCACCCTAGAGATTATTGTGATACTGACCGGGTATCATTATTCCATCAGACCCAAGACACTATTTTCACAAGGTAAAATGTTATGATTTGACTAACCCTAGATGAACATGAAATAACCAATGCTCCAGGTCACTCAGCAAGTCTTAATGGACTGAAAACTATCCGGTAAATATAATCATTCTTCAATTCACATCACTAATCAGCATATCGATAATTTTTTTCAAGGCATGTTTTAGAATAAGTTTTAATGTTATTAGGAAAAAGCCTCTTATACGTATCCAACTACTTGAAAGAGTTAAAGTAGTTGTAAGGAAGTGAAAGAATGGAAAACAAATATTTACAATCTGAACACAACCATTCAGTATAATTCATTGACTTTTTTGATTTTGTCATAATCTACTTTACTTGAGCGATAATCAACAGTGAAAGGTATGGTGCCAAATATATACTTTTATGATTTAGATTCGAATTCATATAATCCAAAAACATAGAAATCACATTTTCTGAATCAATCTAGTTGCTTCCTAACTGGATTCTCATATTTATATTAGAAGAGGACTGTTGAGTGCGGAGGACAAACGATATGTTAGTTATTTTCATAACTAATCGTAGTTATGTCATAACTACAAAATCAAATTGTGGTTTGAAACGCCCACCACGTGATCTGATCTGACGTGTCTGTAAACTATCTTTGTTGTAAATGACCTAATAATTGAAGGACATTAATATCTTATTATATTGATGTGACTCATAGTTTTATTTATTTCCATAGACACGCTATATTGGTCGAAACAGATAAAGTTTAAAGCAAAAGTTGATCTTGTTCTGACTATAGCTTTCCCATAGACTCTGTGCTCGCCAACATTGCGTTTCAGTCAGTCAGTCAGATGCAAAGTAGAATTTCGTACGTAAGTACATCAGTTCATGTTGCCATACCACATCAGCACAGAGATATAATTGTCAATACAAATGCATTAGTAGAGGAGGTAGTAAGGGTATTAGAAGTAATCGGAGAGGTTAGGATTAGAAGACATTCAAGAAATACGATTCAGTGAGAAAAGTTTAGAAATTCAAAACTAGAGGGGTTGAAGAATCCAGAAGATTAGGATTTGAGAGAACACACAGAAAAAATGCACCAGCGCCACTGCAAAAGGGAATGGAGAGAGTGGACAGCCATGACGGACACCACTTGAAGTGAAGAATTTCGGTGACAGTTCGCCATAAGCTCTCACTCGACCAGTGGTGTTTGAGTAGAGAGCTTGTATAAGGTTAATGTACTTCTTTGGTACACCTTTCAATGACAGACACTGCCACAGAACCTCACGATCCACTGAGTCAAATGCCGCTTTTATGTGCAGGAATACGACCATTGTCGGACCTCTAAATGTGTGTCTGTGTTCCAGGACCTGTCGTAGTGTGAAGATGTGGTCTATACAGCCACATCCAGTTCGGAAACCAGACTGGTTTTCTCTAGTCTGCTCTTCACGAGCTTTTGCTAAGCGTCGAAGTATTACTGAGGCCAATATTTTAGATACGATATTATTAGTTAGACTTATTCAACTGTGATTGTCACAAGACCATCAGTGACTGAGACAAGTCAGATGGGATTACGTCCAGTTCCCAGATTCTACCTAAGATCTCAGTCAACCTAGTTGCTAAAACTGGACCACCATCCTTAAATATCTCAGGGGTCAGTCTATCAGGACCTGCAGCTCGCCCTCGCTTCAGGTTTCCTAACGCTTTCTCAACTTCATAAAGGCTAGGGGGGCTTACGTCGATTTGCCACTCAGGATGACTGGAGATCAACTGGCTCCAGGCCAGTTGAACTGGTCCATAAAGTGTTCTGCCCATCGATCCAATCTCCTGGATTGGGAATAAATGATACAGATATCCTTTTCTGAGATAGTCTCACTAAAATTCGGGTTCCTAATACCGGTTTCTTTGATAAGGCGGAAAAGTTGTCTACTGTTGCCGATCGCCGCTGCCTTTTCCATCGCTTTTGCTTTCTCCACCCACCACTGTCCTCGATCATTGCGTAGGCTTTTTGTCAGCCTACGTCTAAGCTGACTCCGCCCCTCATCGCCCTCAGAGCCAGGAGGGATGAGTTTTCGAGCATCCATCAGTTCGGTAGATGCTATTGCGATCCACGGCTTCTTCCTAGCCTTATGGTTTACCTTACTAGTAGATATCACTGCTATTTCCACAGCCTTTTTATTATCATGCCAACCTGCTTCTGGATGGAAATCGCTTACACGGTTGCTTAACTCTGTTTCTAGTTGCTCCTGAAATATATTCTTCGCCCTATTATCATTAAGTAAAACCCTAGGAGGTTTCCTTACGGTGTCTTTCCTACGCCCAGTAAGCTTCAAACAAATACTAGGGCATGATCTGAATCTAAACAAGTGCCAAAGAACGAGCGACAGTCTTCTATCGAACCCGAACCCCTACATCGGTGGCTGATGGCGATGTGATCTAGTCGCGTCCAACGTTGAGACGACTTTGGAGGTCGCCAGGTCAACAGATGCTTTTCCTTATGCCTAAAGTTAGTGTTTGCTAAGAATAGGCGGTTGTCTGAGCATACTTGCAACAGACGGTCACCATTGTCTGTTCTCTGAGCCGCAACACCATAACATCCACCAAGGTATCTTTCCTTCTCACTCAGTCAACTTGCTTGAGCTTCAAGTCACCCACCACTATTACTATATCAGAGCGCCTAACATTATGATGGAGATCCGAAAGCTTCCTATAAAACTCATTTTTCACCTCGTCTGAACTGCAGTCAGTGGGGGCATAGGCAGATATGACGAAGAGGCAACGGCGAGTGTCCCTATCTTTCCGAGTCCTTACTGTCCCATTTAGTCGGACAGCGCACAAGCGACTATCTACTGGGATCCAGGCAAGGAGAGATTGTTCAGCTCTACGACTCAATGCTATGCCTACGCCAGCAAGACCCCTGGAAGCAGCATCAGGGCTTCAAGATACACGAAGAGTAAATCGAGCTGCTTCTTTATTTTGACAAGGTGAAATCAGATTAATAATTTTACTAGGATCCTGTATGCGCGTTTCCGAGACGCGGCATACATCAATGGCACGAGATTCCAAAGTCCTAGCTAATAATGCCTGTTGCTCTATTTGACACAATGTCCGTACATTAAATGCTCCAACATGCAGTCTAGAACGGAGATTCAAGAGACCAGGAATGACGTTTCGTGAACTCGCTTCATCTGCAGCAGAGGTGCAGTGAGAAATGAGACTGTGAGCAGAGTTCGTTGTGGAGAGAGGAGAGGTGTGTGTGGGTGTAGGAAGGATTCGATTTTGACCAATTTGGTCTCTTGTGCTGTTACGGGTATGAGGGCAGTTGTCACTTCCTGGCTGCCCACACCGTGGAAGGTTGTTTCTTGAGGGACCTGAAAAGGAAGATAGATTAGTGTTGGTCTTGGAGACCTGGGTGCGTGACCGCAGAGCCCAGGGGACGACTGCCTGCCAATTGACCTGCCTGGCATGGTAGAACCTTCAGGAACATATGTTCCAGACAGTATAGCTCGGTTGGATCATCACGATAGGCAAGCCCGACCACCACGTCAATGTAGCAGCTACGGTCGGGCAATATTGCGTTTACCGTTGTAGAATTGCATCTGTAGGACAAATTAAATCCTACACCTTAAAATGAAATTTTAAATTTTTGGTCACAAGAACTAATGAAACCATAAAACTAATGATACTGATTTAGTTTACCTATATGGCAAACCAGTTGAACGGTTTTAGATTATCCTTGAAAATTATCGACATGCTAACCAACTTACAACGCATGGCCTATCAAATTGATATCATAGCACCATTTTAAAAAAATGATGTTATATAAGCTTTAGCACCCAGCACAATGTTTAAAATGACACTATGAGGAAGTAATATTAATGATAATTATTTTCATACTTCCTGAAACATTGATAAATTTTTAAATCATTATTTTGTTAGGTGAATAACAAAACTAAACTACACAAACAAAGCTTACCTTCATGAATATTATCACAAAAACTATCATCTTGAACTGGAAGAGGAGTAAATCCATTGTCATCATCATTGTCGTCATTATGGTCTTGATTAAATAAGTTAACAGGTTGTGAATTTGTATCCCAATTCATTTGGTTATTTGACTAAGAAATAATTATATAAAAAAATTATTACTTGAAAACATTTCAAATCATTTCTTTCTAATTTTTTTTTAAAAATTTGAGTATTTTACGTTCATCAATTGTTTGTTTTAATTGAATGATTTAGTACTAGTTGAACACAATTGAATTCTAGATTTGCTATAAAAAAAAACGCATTCTAATATACCCAAAACATTGTAAAAACTATGCACCAAAATGGCTTTGAAGTTTACCCAGACTTCGCCTGGGTTTTCATAAAGGAGTAATAACTATCTCGTATAACATATTGAAATGTGATCTGCACAGATCGTATATACAAACAGTATAAGAAAAAGTATCAGCGAATGTGCTACATTTCTAAATTCATCCAGAAAATGTGCATAACATCAAACATCCATATTTTTACATTCCTTGTGTGGAGACGTTGATAACTATCTAGTCTTACTCTGCATACAGATAAATTTCGGTTCAAAAAGTAAACTTTCATCAAATAGCGCCAATCTGTATAATCTCACATTGACTAGTCTCTTCCTTTTTATTAACAACCTCACACTGAATTGTATTAATAGGTTTTGGTCATTAAGGTAACTGACTATGGACTTTTAAAGCACTACTGAAATTGAATACCGTTTTTATCTTTCTCAGACAGTAAAAGAGCTTAATTAGAAATCTAGCCATCACGTTAGGACTATTCGATAAAAATTCAGATCCCATCTGTGTCCGGAAATCTCATGTGATCGGATAAAAATTCAAAGTATAAAAAATGTATAATTAAACAACAAGTGTTGTGTTTTGTGGCAAGCCCAATGCGACCTAGAGGATACTAATAACACGAGAGTGAATCTGACGCAGTTAGACAAATCGAAATAATGTAAAACACCTAGAGAAGTAAACTACAAGCAAGGATTATTGTGATTTTCAAAACCAAGGTTGAAAAGTAATTGTAGAGGCGGAGCCAAGTGTCAAACGTGAAGATTGTGAATGGATTGCAAGTGAACATAATGACGTTGTTCATCATAGTGTTATACTCAAAAGATTAATAAAATGGTTCGGAATAATCATACTAGATATAGGAAAACGATACAATTCTAATACAAGGAAATGTTACTTGGTATGAACCATCTACCTTTTTGAAGCAATCAAGTTCATGGTTTTAAAATTTGACTAACTAACATTCAGAAATAAAACTAAACAATAGCGTGATTCATAGAATGTAACTAATGAGTAAATGTAATGGCTAAACAAAATAATGTCTATATAAAAAGGACTACAATTCATAGATTGTTAACTAACAATATACAGAAGATATAATGGTAACTTACAGCAAAGTTGTTCTTGTTTAGATCCCAATCCGTAAAACGGAAGTTTTGCAACGTAGAGCATATTGACAATTGATTTAGTGATTTTGAAAGTATTGAAGACAAAAACTCTGTAATATTTGTAACATTCATTGGAGTTGTTGATTGAGTAGTAGTCAATGTACGGAGCATAACAGGGGTTGATGAGTCTAAAATTAACTCACAGGAAGCATTAGCAGTGGAAAGTTGGTTTAATCTTAGTTCAGCAGTGCCCCCCTCATCATAGGCAGCTGTTTGATGTTGAAACAAAGGGTCAACCTGGAGTTAATTACAATTAATTACGTAAAATTGTAGCTTTGTATGAAAAATCAAATGTTTTCTAAATTAAATAAACTCACTCCCCAGGTACGTAGATAAAAGCCACACTAAGCGTGAGGGTTAATAATACTACTAGGTAGCATAAACCAAAGTAGGTGGAGTAGGGTTCGGACCTGCGACTTTGCGGTCGAAAATCAAATTCCTCAGGCACTAAGCCACTGCTCCACTAATACATTTCCTAATATAACTTGATTCAAGCGTTACGGTAAACTCATAAATTATGACAATAATTACTAAAATTTTTAGGTATTTACTACTAGAAAATAATAGTAAGATAAGATAGACAGGTATGAAGTGTGCACGCAGAAACTTACATCAATCTTATCAGCTAATGTTTTAATTCGAATTTTATTGAGTTGTTTATGAATAATATCTCGATGTGCAGCAGTTTTCTTTTTTTGCTCTGGTTTGGAATGTGAATGTGCCTTATCGTCATCATCAACATTATCAGCATTGCTCTCATTCTCTTCATTTTGAGGATTGCCTGATCGACCAAGTCCAGTAAGAACTTGATATGTTTCTTGATGTACAGCATCGACACGACCTGCATATATTTTTGCTCCAGCATCCAACGATGAGCTGGCAATCTAGAAATAATATAAACGATAAGACTACTCCATAACTTATTATTTGAAGCAAATGAAACTTTTTAGATTAAATTATAGCAAGTGTAAAAGCGCCTAACTGTTGAACATTAGAAGTGGATAGAGATTTGAGCCTATAATTAAATAACTCCTGACTATTAAAAGAAAAATTAGTAGGAAGTTAGAGCTTGCGGGTTTTTAATACTATATAAATGGCAAAAGTGTACCTTGAGAGTGTTAACTAAGGTGTTTTATAAGAATCGAGGTTTTAGGATTGAAATGCCACCGGTTACTGTCAAGTAAAATTTATTATATGAACTAATTATATTCTAAAAGTGGGTAGTAGTACACAACCGACAAAATATATAAAAAATAGGATACAGTATAAATAAATGTGTATGCTCACGTCGCTACTTCATATACTAGCGCAGCAAGAGAAAAAGTGAATTAGTTGGAACAGCAATAATAACAATAAGGAACTAGAAATACGGAACGAAGTGAAATTAGAGTTTGCAGATTATGGGATAATATTAAGATCAGGGTGCAAAGAACTAAAAAAACGTGAGTTATTGCAACTGTTTTCAGTCATAGATTACGGATATCACACACAACCCAACCACTAGTATTATTAAAGGGAAGGCTAATAATAACGTATGTAACTATTGTCATATACTCTTCAAAGCTAAACCTTTTTACGGTAGCTACATAAGTCTTTAACTTGTGATACACTGGATTCCACTGAACAGTAGTGAACTGGTAGATTTAGTAATTGACTTCCTATCATTAATAATCCCAAATATTTAAATATTAGAAATTTTTTAAATCCAGTACGTCAATTAAGTAAAAAGATCGACGTTCTTGTAGACCATACAATTATTAACAAGACAAAAATTAATCATAATCAACTCAAGACCTGACACTTTTACAGTAGTCCACGTTGTCATACTACCTCAGAATAGTGAGGAATTGGAAAAATGGATACTAAGGAATTGGAAACGATAGTATTAGTGACAGTAAGACTAAGCATAGGGAATATGGCTTGAAAAGGAACGAAAGCGGAAAAGTACTTTTGGAAATTCTGAAATTCAAGCTCTAAGGGAATTAAAGAATGAATGCGCCTGTGCCAGAGAGATCAATGTTCAGTCATGTCAGAAAAGATGTGATTAGTGATTGCGACTATTGTTAAGACCTCGACCGAGTATTCGACACCTACAAATACGGTTTATTCATTCATTTTATAGACTGGCAAGTTTTAGTTTGGCAAGTCCTGGTTCGCTTCTAAACTGCTTGTACATCAGTCAGAGTTTCGTATCAAGTTAAGTAGTGGTTGGACATGTATAACGAACGTTCAGGAAACATAAGTCGGTAGAGATCTATGGACTCATTAACCGACTTGCTTTTATTCCCTAGTATCTTACACTTGACCTAAGCATTACTTTACCGTACGGAAGCAATATTTTGAAAACACTTATAATCACGTACCTGAAGCCCACGTATGTCCTCTATTTTCATAAGAAATACTTTATAAACACCGACAAATACAGTGTTGTGCATCATACTCACCTTTTAACAGACGGGCACCACAATGGATGTGGATTGACTTTGTGAATCCGACACGGGAAGTCAACAGCCACCAATGCTCCTAGGCTGATGAAAGACTGGGTTGCATCGGCACCTGAACTAGTGATAGGGAGTGAAGTAGTCGAACATGTAGACCGCTTCACTTATCGCAGGAGTCTCATCAGTGCTCATGGCATGGTGACTGACGAAATCTCAGCTCGGATACAGAAGGCTCGATTGGCTTTTGCCAATCTGCGTCACTTATAGCGAAGGCCAGATATCCGTTTGCTAAACAAAGGACGAGTGTACTGTGCAGTAGTTCGCTCCGTCTTACTTTATGGCTGTGAAACATGGCCAGTCAGAGTAGAAGATATTCGTAGGTTACTGGTTTTCGATCATAGATGTCTTCGAAGCATTGCTCGTATATCGTAGGACACCCGAGTGAGCAACGCTGTTATTAGGAAACGGGTGCTAGGTAAGAATGGCAGATCAATAGATGAAGTAATGAAACTTCACCGGTTGAGGTGGTTGAGGCATGTCTTGCGTATGCCTAACCACCGACTGCCTCGACGAGCTATGTTTTGTAGTGTAGGAATAGGTTGGAAGAAAGCTAAGGGCGGCCAAACCAAAACATGGCGTAAATCCATGAGGTCATTGACGAGAGGACTTAGCCATGTCGGTAATTGTCGACTACCTGGTTGGGGTCCGCGAGATGAAAGTCACTAATGGTTAGAAACCTTGAACGACATGGCTCAAAACCGTTTGCAATGGCGCTGGTGCATTTATTCTTTGTGTTCTCTCAAATCCTAATCTTCTGGATTCTTCAACCCCTCTAGTTTTGAATTTCTAAACTTTTTTTCACTGAATCAGACTTCTTGAATAGTATCTTCTAATCCTAACCTCTCGCATTACTGATAATACCTTTACTACCTCTTCTACTATTGGATTAGAATTGACAATTACATCTCTGTGCTGATGTGGTATGGCGACATGAACTGATGTACTTACGTACGAAGTTCTACGTTGCATCTAACTGACTGAATTTACGCCTTTTATGGCGTAGGCGAGATATCCGTTTGCTAACCAAAGGACGGGTGTACTCCGCAGCAGTTCGCTCCGTTCTCTTATATGGCTGTGAAACATGGCCGTTTAGAGTGGATGTTCGTAGGTTACTAGTATTCGATCATCGATGTCTTGAAAGCATTGCTCTTATATCGTGGGACAACCGAGTAAGCAATGCTGCCGTTAGGAAACGAGCACTAGGTAAGAATGGCAAATCAATAGACGAAGTGGTGAAACTTCATTAGTTGTGGTGGTTGGGACATGTGTTACGTATGCCTAACCACCGACTGCCGCAACGAGCTATGTTTTGTGGTGTAGGAGTAGGTTGGAAGAAAGCTAGTGGCTGCCAAACCAAAACACGGCATAAATCCATAATGTCACTGACAAGTGGACTGAGTCATGTTGGTAGATGTAGGCTACCTGGTTGGGGTCCGCGAGACGAAAGTCACCAATGGCTAGATACCTTGAACGACATGGCTCAAAATCGTTTGCAATGGCGCAAGTGCATCCATTCGTTGTGCTCTCTCAAATCTTAATCTACTGGATTCGTCAGCACCTCTACCTTTGTCTCTCTAACCTTATCTCACTGAATTATACTTCTTCTTCATTACCATTAATACCTCTACTATTGTGGTGCGAGCTACTTATAAGTAGTATATGACGTGAGCGTCAACATAATGTCTGGCAGCCGAAGATGGGGGAAGATCAAGAAAGGAAGAGTTAGAAAACAATGGAATTTGTATGAAACGCATGAATAGTGACAATGGATTGATGTTTTGCAACAGGAACAGTCCAGTTCGATATGATGAACTGATATTATGCAAATTAACGATTTACGATATGGTTTTCCGATTTTACTGAGTAACTCTGTAATTTTCGTTAAATACAATTCGGTTGCCCCACCTGTGTTCTCCTTCACTACACTATCTCTATCACTATGGGATTTGATCTGACATTTGCATCTCTGTGCTAATGTGGTATGGCATCCTGAGCTTATGTACATACGTACGAAGTTCTACGTTGCAACTGACTAATGACTTGATCAACATCGCTTGAGGGTGCTGATTCTTATGACGGTTCAGGTTCTGAACAGTATATTGGGTATGTATGGAGCTTCCAGGGTATATTTAGCAACTCAGTCAGTTTTGCTGATAAAACTTGGTCACCACCATGGAAAATACTCATAGACAGACCATTGGAGCAAGCCACTCTGTTTACCTTGCAGCTTCCTTTACAATATTTGTGACAGTCAGAGGAATCATTTTAAGTCTCTTATTCGGGCTGTGTGGAGAATGATCGGTAACTGAAAAGTAAAGAAAAACCTAAATACTATTTATTGCGTGTCATGTTATGATCTATCTATTTAACACTTTATTTAATAAGTTTATTCAGACTCGAGTGGTCACTAGAAAAATACATACAAACAAGGCCAGGTACATAAAATACACAAATGACCGATCATTATCTTTAAAACATGTTTAAAACAACTTCGATATAAATCGAACTAAAATAGGCAGTTAGGCTGTAAGACGCATCTAGCACCAAAATAACCTAGCGACACAGAGGATATACAAACACACTAGGTCTTGAACCTAATTGGTTACCACTGATTAGCTAAAAATGCTGTTATAACATCAACACAGGTTCAGTGAATAATTAGCGTGGTTTATTAGTTTTTCAAATAACAATTTAACCATAGGGATAAAAAAGGATAAACAATATGACTGTATAGATTTGATATAGACAAGAAAATCAAAATCAAAGTATAATACCTGGAAGCTTGCAAAGTCCTCCTTTTTTATCATTTCACTCATGTAATCGATCAAATGTAAGTTGAAAGCATTTTTTGCGGTGATCTTATTTTCTGCAGCTAGTCGAATACAATTGCCATAATGTTCACCAATTTGTGCCTGAGGTATACCACGTGGAGCAGCGGCGTCTGCACGTCGCCTAGCTGCAGTAGAGTTAGCGCTTGGACTATTAACGCTGGCGGGATGGGGCTCCAATAGACGCGACTTTCGTCGAGCCAAACGTTCGTCATCATCATCATTTTCATCTGGAATGAAAATAAGTCATGGAAATAAAAATGAAGTGCACCCTGTTTACAAATGCAATACTACAAGGTGGCATATTTTGACTTCATTCAGAGTACCTATCAATAGATGAAACAGAGGATTTCGTCTAAAGATTTGATTACAGTCCTTAATAAAATGTAGGTTTCTAAACTGTAAATTCTGTACTCACATAGCATCATGTGTTAAGGGTGTCTATATTTCCTAGCCACTAAACGGTTTTCTAATAACACGTTCTTAAATACCTTCGTATGGATGTAGTAATCGAGAATGCGTAATATGAAAATCCATAGCAGATAACATTTCATGGCGGTCTGGGTGAGCTAACATCAAGACTCAACCGAGTTATATTGACTGGAACAATGTCCCTATAAGCAGGGTGGAGAATGGTAGTAATGAAAGACAGAAACAAGGTTTGAAAAAGCAGACGTACTGCTCTAACTGTAGAGAGATGTGGCAACAGTAAGATGTTTTGCTCAGACATACAGCATCTGTAGCGATGGTGAATTCTCACAACAGAAGGAAGAGGTTAGGAAAAGTCAACCCTAAAAATGTCACACCTCACCTTACCTCACGGATTTCCGTCTCCCAAGGTAAGGCCTTTTGGAGAGAGGAGCTAACACCCAGAAAAACTTCCCATAAAAAGGCAGTCTGTGGCTGGCTCCAAGCAGTTCTCCCTTGGTTTCTGCGGTCACGTTCACAGGTCGCTAAGATTGACGCTGCCCCGATTCCCTTTTCAGGTTCCTCAAGAAACACCCTTCCACGGTGTGGACAGCCGATAAGTGACATCTGCCCTCATACCCGTAACAGTACACCAGACCAAATCGCCCACAGCCAAATCCTTTTCGTACCTCTTAATAATAATCTTATTTCTACGACTAACCCTTCTCACATTTCTGCACCACATTGTGGCGCTGACGCGAATGAATCGAATACACGAAAAGTTATTCCCGGACTCCTGAAACCCTGCTCCCAACTAAATGGCCTACAGTCACACTTCAATTACCCACGGTCTCCAGTCAACCTGATTGTCAAGTTGATGTGAGTCCTCCAATTCTTAATGAGGTTGAAAAGGCTATAGGCAACCTCAAGCGAGGGAGAGCAGCAAGCCCTGATAAATTAACCGTTGAGATTTTTAAGGATGAAGGTTCAGTTTTAGCTGTTAGACTGACTAAGCTCTGAGCCAGGACGTGGGAACTGGACGTAGTCCCATCTGACTGGTCTCAATCGCCGGTCGTCCCAGTCGGCAAAGAAGGACAAGATTCCTGTTGCAACAACCAAGGCGGAATCAATTGAACTATTGCTGCCTAAAATATTAGCCTCAATAATACTTCGGCGCCTAACAAGAGCTGGTGAAGAGCAGACTAGATAAAACTAGACTGGTTTTGGATGTGGACGTGGCTGTGTAGATCAGATATTCACACTGCGTCAGGTTCTAGAACATGGACACATGTTCACACGTCCCGTAATGATAGTATTTTTGGACACAAAGGTGGCATTTGACTCGGTTGGTTGTGAGTTTCCATGACAGTGGCTGTCACGGAAAGGAGCACCACAGCAATACATTATCCCTATACAAGCTCTTTACTCGAACACTACTGATCTAGTGTGTAGGCGGCTTGTGGCGAACTGTTATCTGGATGGATTGCTTTAAGTGGTATTCATCAGTATTGTCCACTTTCTCCATTACTCCTTAACTTTGTCATTGTGATGTTTCTAGAGACGACTCTCATCGTCTGACTTTCCAGGAGTTGACCTTCTTGTTGACATAATTGTGCTTGGTGAAGACGCAGACAAAATTCAGAGTCTGCTGACCACCTTAAGCAACAATGCAAGCATGTTCGGGATGAGATTCTCTCCATCGAAATGCAAAATGTCTCTCCAGGATTAGCTTGCATCGGTACCTGAATTGGTTATACGAAGTTAAGTAGTTGAGCGTGTCGACCGCTTCATTTATCTCGTGCTGATGATGCGGCGTGTGACGAAATCTGGGCGCGGGTGCAAAAGGCTTGACTGGCTTTTGCCAACTTGATCATGGGTGTCTTCGAAGCATTGTTCGTGTATCCTGGGACCACCGATTAATCAACGCTGGTGTTAGGGAACGGGTACTAGATACGGCTGGCAAGTCTATTGACTATTCATCGGTCGAGATGGTTGGGACATGTGTTAAGTATGCGCAACCACTGACTGCCTCGACGAGCGATGTTTTGTGATGTAGGGGTGGGCTGGGAGAAAGCTAGGGGCGACCAAACTAAAGCATGGCACAGAAATCTAAAGTCACTGACAACTGAACTGAGCCATGTCGGTAGGTGTAGACTACCAGGTTTGTGGGTAGCGGGACAATCGTAACCGATGGTTAGACTTTGGATGTCATGGTTCAAAATCGTTGGCAAGGACGCAGATGCATCCGTATCTTGTCTCCTTAATTCTGACCTGCCGAAATACTCAAAACTACTGTTTCTTATTTGATTGATTTGCATTTGTTTGAATTTTATCTTTGATCCCTAATTTTCTCCATTACTATTGATACTGTTATTATCTCTGCTACTCTGAAATTCACCCTGGTAATTTAAAATTTCAGTGCGTATGGGGTATGGCGATTTGAATTAACGTACTTACGTACGAGGTTCTACGTACTGACCGACTGACTATTAAAGATGGTTAGGATGGCTAGCCTTACTTTTCAACTATTTAAAGACGCAAATGGTGCTGCAATTGTGCTAATTTTACCTTTCTTATGGCGAGTTTCCACGAAGAGAAAGTGACTAGACAGAGGTTTAGTGCATAATCACTGACGATGAACTCTGATGTTGACCAAGCTTAATAAAATGGGCTTAAAAAACTTGAAAAATGGACAACAGTATCACTTTGGTGGTCATGATAGTACGCTCAACATTTTTTAGTTTAGACTGTGTAATTCGGGGAATATGAGGTGATTTCCTATCAAGTTCCGTTTGTTATACTCTGGACGTCAACACACACTAATGGCTGAGCCCTAGCTGTGTTTCTGACAGAAGTTAGCGGGCTTACGACGAACAGGACGTCCTGATGTCTTCGGAGTGAGGAATCATCAAGAATATCATGTTGAGCACCATGTTAGATACTGACCTCAAAAAAGCTTATGCACATTACAACGGTGAGGTGACTCATTCATTTGGGAACATGTCCAGCTAAGAAGCTAGCACGGTTGCAGTTTTAGCTGAGAAACGTAAATAGCAGGACACTAGAAAGATTACCAACGGTGTTACGGCTTAACGAAAATGAGTCAAGGATAACACATACATGCAAAAAACGTTATGATTGTCACAGTGGTTATTAGACACAATATCGTGGGGATTTTGCGTGAGTTCAATTCTCCTTACGCAACCAGGTGTGCTACATGCACATTAAGGATACGAAAAAAATTGGTACACAACTGTGTAGATGCAGCCAAGAGGTTCAGAACCTCATGGCTTTACGACAGACACTTACTGAGTTAGATACAAGTATGTTCATGAAATCGTACACAGCCTTAGTGAGATACAAACTTGGAAACTGAGTTCAAGAGATTAAATTTTGGTGTTTGGAATACCAATTGATTTTAGACCTAGTATATCCTCTTTTTTACCAGTTCAATACAACTTAGAAGACACAGAAGGAAAGTACAAAAGTAGAAAACAAACTGACCATATGAATTACCGTGATTACAATAGTATAGTATTTCCGGGTTATTTGATTGAACCTCTACCGAATGAATACTGTCTGAAAGTGGTATTATCGCTCTGGTCAGTAATTAACTACCTTAAACTTTTGATGCACTACGATAATCGCAAAGATGTCTCTAACCCAGAGGAATCTAATGTCATTAAAATCCATTGTCTAAAAGTCCGTACTCCTGATTTACAGAACTACATCCGGAAGCCCGATAAGCAAAATTGCTTACGCTAATATATAGGAAAAATTGCTACGATGTGTTCTAAATTGTGGAGAGAATATTTGGGTAACTATACAATAGATACTATTTATGACAGATTATCTAGTAATTTGGAATGCTAACAAAAAAGACGAAGCCTCACCCAGCTATTTGAAACATATAAAATGACAAATAAGTATGGTAACAAAACTAAAATTCTGAAAAATTGTAATGTATACCTTCCAAAATAATCATATTTGGTGGCTTAAGAGGACTTGATCCAGACTTGATAAATTTTTTGGGTCTGCTAAACTCGTCAACTGGAGAATCAGCTTTAAAAGAGTCGAAGAGATTGACTTTGGATTCGGAAAGTAACATACTATCCAGCGGATTTCAATGGATCAAAAGTGTGGGAAACCCCGCCAGAGTCAAAAATCAGAACAGCCGCTAGTGGCGCGCTCATGAAAAATGTTGAGCACTTAAACTAAACAATGTATAAATACATTTTCTATTCCTCATCAGACTTGGGATATAGTGAAAGATTTTCATACGTCTGAAGAACCAACACACTGTCCTCAATATACTTTTTAATTCCACACCTATAATTTATTTCCTTATAGCAATTTTGTGAGCCATGTTAATTCACATTAACACTCCTATCACAAATCTTTGACCAGCAATTGGAAAATAGTACTTATGTCACCTCATTTTATACTGACATGTGATTCGATGACTAGCCGGGATTAAAACCTAGAACCTTTATTCTTTAAGTTATTCACTAGAGAAATTCAGCCATGTAGGCAATTTAACGGGAATCAATAATGCTAATTTATAACAGTCATATGTTGCTAAGGACTGATTAACGCTGGAAAAGAAAGCGGGTTAACGCAGTGAATGTTGGTATTTCAATCCTTGACCTGAATGTTCAGGGTACGAAACATAATAAGGTCAAAAGCTCAATATTTTCACGTTAGGATCAAATGGTCATGATTTTAGCATCGTTTATTTTCAGGTGTTACCCCCCCCCTAGTATTATTCACCCACGTGAGTCAACAGTCTTGCCATATATTAGGTGACGACTATGAGAGTTAAAAGTTAGGTAGTAGCATTGTTGAGCTTTAAAGCATGGAACCTAAGCCTCAGCTCTAGCCTTTCATTGATTTCTGGAGTTGGAAAACTGCAGGAAATATGTTACTTTTTGCTAGGCTAAAGTCACTTTTGCGTTCTGCATATACACAATGGCGAGCAAAGACTAAGGCTGTTCAGTGATTTTTAACGTCTTAACAATAAAATTTCAAGTAAATATTTGTATCTCAAGTTAATTAAATGGGCCGAAAGAAATTATTTCGTGACCCTCATATGAAATTTGCACGGGAAACATCGAAAGAACCACCACTCAGATTAATTTTGAGACGGACCAGGTGACTTGAACACAGTTTTTATTTACTTTTTGGTTTACACGTAGACTACCGTCCTTGTTCTGGACTTCTGAAATAAAAGTTAAAAGGTCACTCTAAATCGTTCACATTATACTGATTATTCTGACATTTAGTCGTAGTGGAACACTTCTACGAAGAAAACGCAACTAATGAGAAGAAAACAATTATTAATGTATGTAGAATTCTTTTTGAATGTTTTGTGTTTTGGAAAATCCCTCCATGTTTACATATTTTTGCTATGACATGATGGACTTTTTCTCTTGACATTTTTGGTATTTTATTTGATTCCAATTTGAGATTTTTACCATTGTATGTTGTTATTCTTTCTATATTTTGTACTTATATTGAAGTTTTTGTGTTTGCTTTTGAACTGTACATATATTGTTTAAATTTGATATAATATGGCTACCGCCACATTTTTGGATAGACGCGGTGGCTGCTGGACTTAGTGTCACTTACTAGCTATTGTACTAGATACTCTACGGAGTAATTTAGTCCTGGAAGAAACAAAAATACCGTAAGCCTCTGTATTTCCATTTTATATTAATAAGAGACGTTTTCTCCTAGAAATTTCGCCCTTTTGATTTCGGCTGGGACCTGGATCTAGGAGTAACGTACAGGAGTGTTTCTATTGGAAGCAATTAGGACAGCCACCGTCGAAATAGATTCTACAATGTACTCGTTTTGTTTAACTATATTAAAAACACGTACTTACGCGCAACGTTCTTTTTTGAGTTACTGCCATCCTCCATAACTTTCTGCTCACTGTATCGCCCACTTTCTCATTCAAGTATATTCTTTACCCTAATTTTTTTCTGATTTTGGTGACCGGGTAGTAATTAGTATTTGGTGGTGATCATAGTCAATCTCGACTCGGTCACCACTACAGAGTCATCAACAAATGAAGTGCGTCACCTCATTACTTGATTAGAGCTGAATCTTTCAGAGAATCCAGAATAAGGCTGAATCAACTGGGAGACTACCATAGACATTAGTGACGCAGGTCACCCTGTCATCTGTTATGTCGAAAACGGAATATGGCACACTGAAGATTAATTTTTATTTTATCCTAAGGATGTCATAGGTATTGAGTTTTAGAAAACACTGTCGTCAATCCAGAATTCATGCATGAAAATGATCAAAGATATATACGAAAGATGGTGAAAGTGTTGAGGAGTAAGTGTAATTGGATTTTCTATCGTGACAGTTCAATTCGATTCCAATAGACGTATGTCGGACGCACTTCCCGATTTATAATATAAAACACAATAATTCTAGGGGAAAATGGTCTATTAATAAATAATAAATGGAAATACAAGCAATACCTAACGAAATTTACGCCTTCCAATTCAAAATTACTCTGAACGAGTATCAATGTTCCGAGGTCTAGGTGAACTCCTATACTGCACGATCTCGAATCCAAAAATGTGGCGGTAGCCATATTATATCAACTTTAAACAACATATGTACAGTTCAGAAGCAAACATAAAAACTTCAATATAAGTACAAAATATAGAAAGAATAACAATATACAATGATAAAATCTCAAATAGGAATCAAATAAAATACCAAAAATGTCAACAGAAAAGGTCCGTCATGTCATAACAAAAATATGTAAACATGGAGGGATTTTCCAAAACACAAAACATTCAAAAAGGATTCTACACCGGCCCGCGAAATCCCTCCATGCAAAGAGCAAGCGTTAATGACACTTCTATTTAGGGTTCCCACTCATCCCCTAATCCACACCGGAAGAACGTGTAGGACTTACAGCAGTACGCCTACCCGCCATTCAACATGGATATGACCTATAGTGCTAACTAGGTACCTATACTTTCCCATCAGGCCCTTGATTCCCCTATCTATCGTGGCATGACTTAACGGTAGTATAAACCTTACCCAATTAACCCACACGAACATGTACAACAAGTCGTGAAACTGGTCATATCCTATCCGGGAACTACATTCCCTATCATGGGGATGAGTCGCCAATCCACCACCACTTGCTCCGATCGGCAGATTCAATGAAGTCCGTGATGCTGACTTGTCAACAGAAATTCTTGACCAATAGATAATATGCAAGGGTGGGATCTCCAATTTTGACATTTCATCGTCTCCAGAAGACTTTAAGTAGCATAACATGGGATCAATATTTATCTCTCCATCTCCTGATACAGAGGAGGTTTGATCAGCATTCGTCATCGTCGACAACTTATTTGTCACATCAGTGACATCCAGATTATTATCAACGTCATCATGATTCCGTTCTGCCAGACAAATCGCGTTGATTCGGTCTGCACTAGTATCCGTAGAATGGAACTCTTCCATTTTTGTATAACTCATATCACTACATGAAAGAACAGCATTAGTATCGCGATTCGAAACTGATATACTCACTTGTTGTTCTTCATGTTCCGTTTCAGAGACACAAGACATATGCTCATCAATAGCATCGTCATCACACAACACTATCGACTGGCTGTTACCATCAGACGCTTCCTTTTTATCATCACTCGACTGACAGTCAACCGGAATAGGAACAGTTACAGTTGCACAACCTTGTGCATCTTCAATCAACTTAACATTCGTGACGAGGTCCAATGACGTCGAAACACTAGAAGGCTCATTCGATGAAGTTGATAGACTAGTCACTATAAGTGGACTGCTGACACTTTCTGTCTCCTTATTATCGCTGTCACTACTAAGGTTCTGATGGCTACTATTTCCATTGCTAGTCATAGCATCCGAAAAAGAATGAGGTTTAGGCTTCTTTATAATAGTAGCATCATGTTGTCTCCTAGGCTTCTTAGCCTTTACAGTACCACCATCACTTATCCTAGAATCTACTCTAGGTCCAGTTATATAATTTACCCTAAATGAAGGGTTCCGAACATAGGCTTTATTCCGTCCAGACAATCCTGCCTGGGCCTTATTCATATTTGCTGAACTCATTAACCTCTGATTACTCGAATCCAAATAACCGTTCCAGGCTTTTCGAGCGGTTAAGAGGCTTTTATCATCACACACTTCGGATCCATCTTGATGCCTACACTTTTTACCTTTTTCTTTCTTTTCCATACTTAGAAAAGCCATCTTATCTGTTACACTAACCGGCTTCTTACTAGGATACGCATCAAGAGGTTTTACATCGTCACGGTCACATACTCGTCCTTCATCAGCGTATGCTTTCGTGATATAATTGACAACCCTCTTATCTTCCGGGCGTGCGTTAGATAGAAACGAAGAATCCTCATGTCTCGCACGCAGACCACTAGTAGCTTCCGTATTATGTTCTGTTTTAGCCCGATAAGCTAATCTTCCGGACTTACTACTAGCTATCTTAGCACGAGACACAATAAAATTCGTCAATTCATTGAAATTAGTTTCTCTTTCCTCTTCGTCCCACTTGATTCCTAGCTCTGCCCACTGGGCTTGCATTCGACGAGGTAAGAGCCTGACTATTCGTTCTAAAGTAACCAAGGAATTAAGTCCCGTTGTGCAATTTAGCTGTTCTACAGTTGAAGCAGCATTCTGCATTTTAATAGCCAAATTCGTCAATAATTCAGGATCATTAATATCTACATTCCCAGTTCTAAATAAATCCTCTAAGGTTTCTCGGGCTATTACATGCGACTGTCCAAAGAGCTGTTTTAAAACGGCCTTAGCTCTCTTATATCCTGCTTGTGAATCTATTATAATACAACCTTCAATCGCATTTTTTGCTTTTCGCTTACAGTAGTGAATTAAATACAATAAACGCACTTGGTCGTCTTTTACTCTTGGTTCTATGAACGTTTCTATTTGACGCATGAATCTAAAATAGTCACGAGACTTTCCATCAAAAAATGAAAGTTCAACCTTGGGTAGTTCTAAGCCTACTATCGGTGTCCTAAGCATCTGATCCGTCTCTGGTACCTTAGAACTCTCACTTAATCCTGG